TTATAATAATTTTTTTTAAAAGTATTTAAAAAATTTAAAAGATTTATATTTATAATAAATAAAAAAACCGGAAAGTGTTTTCCCGAATATTAATTATAAAATTATATTATTGATTTAATAAAAAAAAACGTTTTTATAAAGCTTTTTTTACGTTATAAGTAAAAAAAATTTAATATTTTTAAATTATAATTAAAAAATATATTTAATATAAAATATATTTGTAAATTTATTTTCTTTTATATATTTTTAATATTTTTTATGTTAAAGTTTAATTTTAAAGATTTATTTTGTTTAATGGTAAATTATTAAAAATTAAATGTAATAATAATATTTATATGTTATTTTATTTTATTTATATTAAAAATATAAAACCGATTTTAAATTTTATAATAATTTATTAACATTAACTTAAAATTTAAATTTAATTTAATTTGTATTTAATAAAATAATAAATAAAAAACAACATTTAAATATAAATATAAATTTTATAAATATTTTATTATATTTTTCGGATTAAATAACGTGTTTATTACTTTTTAATTTATAATAAATAATATTTTTAAAAATATAATAAACGATAAATTATTAATATATATTAATAATTTATTTATATATATCATTATTTAAAAAAAAATATAACAAAATAATTAAAAAAGTTTTAAAAAAACTTACCGTATACCATTTCATAATTATTTTACATAAGTGTAAATAAATAATTTAAAAAATAAAATTTTTAAGTTATATTATTAATTTTTAAAGTATTTTTATATTTAAAAACAAAATTAAATATATTATAAAATAAAAGTTATTAATTAACTTTAAAAAGTTGTAATAATTTATAAATTTTGTAAATTTTTATAAATAATTTATTAAAAAATTTTTAATAATAATTAAATTTATCATAAAAATTAATAAAAAAAATAAAAAAACTTAAAAATAAATATTAAAAATAAACGAGGTTTTTAAAGATTTAAAAGTTAAATTTACGTTAGTTTTAATTTTTATTTATTTTAATCTTAAATTATAAATTTTCTTTAAAATTAATGTTTTGGATTTTATTATTAAAATTGTTTTTTTTTAAAAAAATAAAAAAGTAAAATTTTAATTTATAACTTTTTATTTTTAAAAACTAACTTTAACGGAAATAAATTACAAAATATATAATAAAAAATTATTTATAATTGTTAATTTTTTTAATCGATAAAAATATTATTTTAAAAAAATACAATATTAAATTAAAATATTTTTTAATTATTAAAATTTATTTTATTTTATAATAATTAAAGTTTTAAATAAAAAATAAATAAAATAAACATAATAATTTTTATTATATTAATTTATTATTAATTATTATTTTAAAAAGTAAAATGAAAAGGTTAATATTTTATTTAAATTATTATAATATTAATTTAAAAAAAAAAGTTAAATATTAACCGGTTACGTTAATATTATAAAAAAAACATTTTTTATATTTATTTAATTTTAATATAATATGTTTAATAACGGTTATTTTTACATTTAATCGTTTAAATAACTTTTTAACTTTAAAATGGTCACCCGAATTTATAAAACGAGTTAAAAAATTAAAAAAAATAACTTATTATATATAAAAAAAAAAAATAATCCAAGCAATAATTTTAAATTATAAAACAATTTTTTATATAAAAAAAACGTTTATAAATACTTTAAATACTTTAAAAAAAAATCATAAAATTAAAATATAATATTTTAATAATAAAATATATTAAAATAAATAAAACTTTAAAACTTATTATACGAAACTTTTAATAATTTAATATTAAAATTATTATATAAAATTTTGTAAAAAAATATTTAAAATGTTAACGTAATAAAATAAATTAACATATTTTTTATAATTTACTTTAATTTATAAAATTATATTATATATTATAATATATTATTATTATAAACTTTATTATTAATTTATTTTTATTTAATAACTGTAATTTTATTTAAGTTATAATTAATTTATTTATTAAAATAATATATTTTATATTTTTTTAAAAAAAAAAAAAAACTGTAAATTTAATTAAAACTTTTGTTAAGTTTTATTAAAAATTACATAAAATTTTTTTAAATATTATTTTTAATTAAAATTTTAAATTTATTATTTATTTATAATAAAACTTTTTTAAATTTATAAACATTAAACCATAAATAAATATAACTTTTTATTTTTAAATTAATAGTTAAATAAAACAATTTAATTAAATTTTTAAAATTTATTTTTAAATATTTATTAATTATAAAATAATTAATTAAAAAGATTTATTATTAACGGTAAAATTTACATATAATAACTTAAAATTAATATTATTACATATAATATTATTTTACGCGAATTATAACTTTTATCCCGTAATTTACAATTTATTTACCAATACTTTTTAAAATTTAAACAATTAATTATATATATATTAAATAAAGTAAGTTTATATTAAAATATAATAATATTTAAAAAAAAGTTATTAATATATAAAAAATTAAATTAATAAAAAAAAATATTAAAATTTAAAAAAAGTTAATTAATTATATTAAATGGTAAAAATATTAAAATAAAACAATTTATTAAAAAATTAAATAAAAAAATGTTAAGCTTTTTTAAAATTTAAAAAGTAATTTTTTTTATTATTATTAAATTTTATTTATTTAAAAAGTAAAAAATTTACAATTTATTTTACGTTTTATTTATTAAACTTTATTACGTTAATAATTAAACATTATTTAATTTTAATTAAGTTTTACGAAAAATAACCTTAATAAAGTTTAAAAAATATTATATAAATAAAATTAAAGATTTTATATAAGTTTAAAAAAATGTAAAATATTTAATTAAATAAAAAAATTAATTAATTAAAAAATATTAAACTTAAAAATCTTTTATTATTTTAATAATAAAAACGTTAAATAAACAGTTTTAACATTACATTAATAAAATTTAAAAAAGTTAATAAACTTTTAAACTTTATTAAAAAAAATTATACTTTTTATTTAAAATTTTAATTTAAAAACAAATTTTTAAAAAAAAAATAATATTATATAAATAATAATGTTAAAAAATTATTAATTAAAGAAAATAATTAATAAAAAATATAAAATAATTATTTTAAAATTTATTAAATAAAAAATATTATATAATTATATAATTATATATAAATAAAGTTAATATATAAATAAAGATTTAATTAAATTAAAAAATATATATTTTAAATTATTTATAAATAAATTAAAATTTTTTTTTAAAAAAAAAAATTTAAAAACTTTAAAACTTTTAAAAATTATTAATAATTTTAATTATATTTTAAGCTTTTTATAATTTATTTTAATGAATTTAAATTAATGATGCGAATTTTATTATATTTTTTCCGTTATATTTTTTTTAATTAATTATATTTTTAATTTATTTTTTTTTTATAAATTTTACATTTTTAATTTAAAATAACTCGGGCGATTTTTATTATATTAAATTATTTAATATTAAAAATAATATTAAAAACAATAATATTAATGCGTTTAAAATAAGTTTTAATTAATTTAAAACATTTATTAATTTTATTATTAATAAATATACGCGTTTATTTAATTTTTTAAACGTTTAAATATATGCGTTTTAAACGTTTTAAACGTTTTAAAATAACGATTAATTATAACATTAATTATAACATTTTTAAAAATATATAACGTTAAAATTTATAATATTATAACGTAATACCGTATAAATATATAAAATATCGAAAAAATTTAAAAAATTAAATTAAAAACTTTAAATTATAAAAATAAAAAGTATTTTAAACATGGTTATAAGTATAAACGCGCGGATGTAAATGTTAATATAACATTTTTAATGTTATTATATGTTTTTAAACGTTGTTTTAAACGTTAAAACTTAAAATATTATAATATAATACCGTATAAATATATAAAAAAAATAAAAAAATAAAAAAAACATATTATTAACCCCAGATGACAAAAATAAAAGCTATTTTATATATTGTTATTAAATATTAAGTTATTATAAATATAAGGTTTAATTTTTAAAAGGACCTGTTTTAACGTGGTTAAAAACGCCCGAGTTGTCTTAGACTAAAATTCGTTGAAACTTGCACCCATGACCCACAGATACAATTACACGGGCCAGGCGTTCTGTGGCGCCTGTGGCGCCTCTGGCGCAATCGGGCGTAAGCCCGATTTTCAACGAATCTAGTCTGAGCCACTGAGATAATTTACAGCCCTTGTTACAACCAGACGCTTAGAACGGCGCGCTGACATCTGTTAAGCTCGATGATATTAGCAAATACCAGAAAGTTATTAACTTCTTTCGGAATACGATACTCCTTAATAGCCTATTTCGCTTGCAAGAGATCGCGTCGCTCCTTTATCATATACACAACTGTGACAAGGGCAATAGGGCTTGGAACTGAGGTTCTATTCAACTGATAACTTTTTTGGTCCTAAGGTCCATGATGACCTTCTTTCTATCTCTGTAGTCCTGAGGGGTTGCAACTACTTATACCCAAATTATGGTACGTATCTTTGTTATCATTTTGCCGTCCTAACCGCTGATAATATGTGTTTGTGCTATTAGGCATCTTTTCATTCCGGCATCGTCGAATGACCTTCACTGTGGTGGGCATGTTGGTTGTCTTTGCAGATATCCTGCGGCTAACAAGACTCGACTCTATTCCCCGTATAACAACAACCTTTTCAAAATGCACATAACCATAATTCTTATCAGGTGGACAACATGCAATCGAGCATCAAGAAGCTTCAGCGAAAGTTCCTCTACAGCCTTCTGAGCAGCCAGTTGATTTAAACCTCTCTGATATTTTGGCAAAGGCACTAACTCTCGTACAAACTACTGCTCCTCCACCAAGTTCAATATCTGTCGCGAGGTGGAACCAAACAGCATGGAAACAACTTCGTTGTTCCGTGAGGAACTCTAGCCTAGCTATGGGAGTCTAAGTCTATACATACAGAACATGTCCTTTGTTCTAGATGTCTCATCTAGAATCTTGACACTATCATCCTGAATCCCATCAATCTAATGTATCTGGCTGTTGGGCTAGGGGTGTCGACACTCTGGTTGTAATGACTCGTGGGCTATGGGGTTGTTGGACGACTGAACTCGTTGGGAGTTTGACGATCGGGTTTTTGTCGTCGGTGTCGTTTTCGTAGCTCTCTGCAGATATGGATTCCACCGGCGATGTGATTACTGGTAGTTGTGTACTATGATCTGCTTGCAACTTTCGAGGGAAGATTCTCAAAGGCTTTAATAGTGAAGTCTTGGGTTACGCCAAAGGGAAACACTCAGCCAATCCACCTATCTACAACTTCTCTAAACGCCTCTTCCTCAATATCTCCTCGCCAAACCGCGCCATCTCGAACTTCTTAACCTTACCACTTCCCGTCAGCGGTACATCAGCCGGAACGCCATCCTCGCCTAGCCAAAACACGTGTGTCGGCGCCTTATGGCGTCCTAGCTTCTGCTGCACCCAATCGCGAACTTCCTGATCACCCAGCTTTTTCCCTTCCTTTACGGCTTCGTCCGCTAGCTGCAAGAACGCGCCAACCACCTCTCCATAGTGCGCGTCCTTGAGTCCCGTGACTATGGCTCGGGTTATGGCCGGATGTGCTAGTAGCCGTTCTTCGATCTCGAGGGGGTATATGTTTTCGCCGCCGCGAATAATTATGTCCTTGAATCGTCCGGTAATGGAGCAGTACCCCTGCTCGTCGAATACGGCTTCGTCACCCGTCCGTAACCACAGGACACCTTCGGCGTCGCGCTGCATCACCTCCGCTGTTTTCTCCGAGTTGTTCCAGTATCCGGCTTGTAGCTGGTACCCCGCGATGCACAGTTCGCCGCGTGCGCCCAGCGGTAGGATTTGACCGTCATGGTCGACGATCTTGGCGCGCGCGTGCGGCATCAATGTACCTACGGTAGTGAGTCGCTTTTCGATAGCGTCGTCGGTGAATGCGTTGAAGCAGGTTGGGCTGGCCTCTGTCAGTCCGTAACTGCTAGTGAACTCGGTCATGCCAAAACGCTCGACTAGCAGCTCCATGAGGTAGCGGGGCACAGGGGCACCAGCGATGATTCCCGTGCGCAGGTTGGTGCAGTCGAAGTTAGGAGGGAAGGGAAGACTGAATAGGGTATCGAACATGGCGGGGACGCCGTGCACGGCGGTGCACCGCTCGTCGGAGATGGCGCGAAGGACGGCGGCTGCGTCGAATGTTTCCTCTGGATACACGATCTTGGCGCCGTGGGTAATGACGGCCATCATACCGAGCACGAGACCGAAGCAGTGGAATAATGGTGGTGGGCAACAGAGAACATCATCTGGGGTAAGCCGCATGCGGTCACCAATGAAGCGAGCATTGTTGACGATGTTGTGGTGCGTCAACATAGCCGCCTTGGGAAGACCTGTGGTGCCGCTCGTGAATTGCAGATTGCACACATTATGCGCGAGAACCTTTTTCCCGAGACGGTGAAGGTCACTGTCGCTTACCGATCTCCCTTGCTTAATTAGGTCTGCGTACGTTGGATACGACCCCGATTCGCCTCTCAGGATGACGACGTTGGGGCCCTCCTTCTCCTTGGCTAGTTCCGCTAACAGTTTGGTGTTCTGCAGCCTTCCAATTTTCTTCGTCGTGAAGAATATTTTCGAGTCTAAGTACAGTTTAGAAGACAGCAGCGTCTTGGGTATAGATACATTACGACTTACCTGAGAACTTCAGTGCGTGCAGCGCTTCTGTTGGTGTGTACGTGTTGTTCAATATCACCAATATAGCCCCGATCCGTGCGACAGCGAAGAAGACTGCGGCGTATTGCTCGCAATTGCCGGCCATAATGCCAACGCGGTCTCCGACACCGATCCCAAGGGAAAGCAGCGTCCTCGCCAACTGAGAGCTTTGCTGATTGAGCTCATTGTACGTCCACCGAGCACCCGTCCAAGGCGTGACGATGCATTCCCGACTGCCGTGGTGCTGGCATTGGAGATCCAAAAGTTCGCCGAGAGTTAGATCTACTAACGGGGGATCTACCGGACCCTCCAAATAAGACATTGGTTGCCTCTGAAACTGAGGATTCGGCGTTGCCGAAACATTCGATTGTGTAGTCATGATGGAAAGACTGTCGCTGAATGAAGGATTATTGAATAATCTTCCTAAATAATCCTGTCTCCTATTGACGCAAGATATTATCTATGATGGAAGAGGCTTTAGACTAAACACGCAATGGTTAATCTCTGAATATACGCAACCTTTTCTAACTGCAATTTTGTCTTGAATGTGTCTGACATACTGGATTGAGTATTATACACTGACGTAGAAGAGAGTTAGATGGATCGCTTGACAGTGAGAATATGGGACATACTAATATCAAAATAAACGAATTACCCCTGGTAAGTCGTAAATAGTACCTAACTTATCCCCAGTACTAAATGGCTAGGTATAGTTATAGCTCAGAGTCCGGGTATCTCTCCCATTCTGGTATATGCTCCCCAAAGCCACCTACTTTCTCACGAAATTCTACCATTCCGCATCCAGCGCACCGGGCTCCATGGTAGTACTTGTACGTAAGAAAGCCGAATAAAAGCACATGTTATTAAAACATCTGCAAGCCGGCCGATAGAACCCACGGGAATCCATAGATCCCAATTCCCTGGAATACGCGACGAACCAAGAAAAAAAGAACACCTATATCCCTGTACCATTGCGTGTATGCAATTTGGTCTTTGTTGGGTCCGGCTTCGACGGGTGGGTCAGACGGGGGGGACTAGACATCTAATCATCGGATCTGATAAGATCAATTTTTTTTTCTATAGCATATGTAGGTACCTAGCAGCTGTACCTGTCTTGTACGTAGTTACACGCATTCATCGTGCATGTCGTGCGAGATCGGAGTACGAAAAAAAAAACTACTGTCCAGGTAGTGAAACGCTAACTCGTCAAATTACTGCCTTATTACAAGGAATACTACACACGTATACAACAGTATACATGTCTAGTACCTTGAGGTACTTCGACGACAATTATCTGATGTACAATGTATCTCTTTACATGTGAGTATCCATTAGTCTCCTGTTTTTTTTACGCGTCTTAATGTTGGCTACCTAGGTAGGTATTCAGGTATGTTATGTAGAAGAAGAAAAAACGAGCTCATTTATATTCTAAATGTCGGTCTAAATCCGTATGCTATCAGAAAGATCATGCTTATGCAAACTCGCTCCAACGCCTGTAATACGCTAAGTTGCCAGATATACCATGTTCTAATGCACCACCAAGATGGATTTTGCCTAGGTATCATATATAGCCCATATATATATATAGGTACCTATCATCATAGCACAGTCCCCTTGACCTGCTTGGACTGGCTAACCCTAACATCTTGCCAGATCCCCACCGCGAGGATTTCGAAAAGTGATATGAGGGTCCCCGTAATACACATCCGGGACTGGGCTATGCCGTATGCGGTAATAATAGCGCTTCGCATCGCGCTGCCCATAGGATAGCTTAGCTGTCTCTTTAGATCAGACCCGATTAGGGCTAGTTCGTCAGAAGGGACCTCGGGTAAGAGCCTGGCAAGCTCCGTTGGGAGTGTCGTGTTCCAGATGGCACCGCTGAGCGAGCTGCCTATTGCTGAGCCCGTGTAGTACGCAAGACCCAGAATAGCCATGATAGAGGCTAGGTCCGAGTGGTCTGCGATGGCCATAACTGCTATCTGTTCGCACATGACAAGCGTACTACCCCCGATCGTGATAAGAATTTGACACATAATGACCCATGCGATATTCGTGTCGGGCTGGCGGAAGATAATCATTAAGGCGCCGCCTAAAAGATGCACCGGTAAAGCAGCTAAAGCTAGCCACTTGAACCTGTCTGTCCGTCTGATCAAATACCCCACGACCACGGCCCAAATGCATGAACCAAGGCCGTAAATATGGCCTATGTAGCCGGCCTTTTCGAGGGTTAAGTTATGCACAACCTGTAAATACGATGTATAATAGCCGTCCCATGCGAAATAAGCAATAAATATTATGATGGATAACAGGAAAGACCCCGCCACGTTACGGGAGCATAGGAGCGAGAATCGTACGAACGGCCGCTTCGTTTTACGCTCGTGAACAGCAAATGCGACAAGAAATAAGACACCGAATATGGGAGTAATGGCGACGGCGCTGTTTACCGCAGACCCGTGGAGCGAAAATGGGACCAAGATTAGAGTTAAGCCGGCGGCGGCAAGGAACATTCCTGGGGCTACTAAACGTTAGACTCCAGATTATGGATATATCGTTATATAAGTCGACATACCATCAAAATCAATCAGTCCTTGGCGTAATTTCGATATAGTCCACGGGCCATTCCTAGTGCGTTCCGGAAGTAGACCTAGCTTTCTCGCCTTTCGCGCATTGATGATCAGAATGGACAGGACTGGCAAAGAAAGCACAACAAACAACACCGCAGAGAGACCAAATGCCCATCTCCAACCGCTTCCTTTGAGGAACGCGTTAGCTACCACTGGGCCGAGGAATGTGGTGATCAGTGTAGGTGAAGAGTTGAATGCAAATGCAAGCGTTCGGTCTTTGAGCGACGAAGTATCGGCAATGATGATGTCGAGGACATAGGTAAAGCCGCTGATACCGACTTGGTAGATTACCTCTGCTGCTGCGTATGTCCGGACGTTCTGGCTCGCGGCCATGAGAATAAGTCCCAAGGTCGCGAGCGCGATTACGCACGCGAGACCCTGCGGGCGGCCCCAGGAGTCGATTAGCTTGGCTATGGGCAGTTTCAAAATGCCGCTCATGACAGACGCTATTATGCCGATGGTAGGGATCAAAGAATGCGCACTGAATTCGCTGACGACAAAGGGCTGCAAGTTCGACATGACCTGGTATTGAAGAGTATTCGCAAACGAGCACAAGAAAATACTAGAGACACGATAAACGATCAGCTAAAACTGCGATATCGATCGATGAACGCGTAACTATTATTGCTGTCACGATCACGACTCACAAGAAATATGCCAGAACGAGCACAGCTCTCGACCAAACTTGATTGATGGCATCGGCCTGCTTGATGCCATCCTGGATATCGATACTTGCTCCATCATCCGTTGGGTCGATGGTGACTACCACATCATCTTTGCTGGAAGTAGTAGATCCATACGAATCTCTTCGGATATTACCACCACCGTCGCTACTTGAACCCTGACCCAGCAGTGGTGCCTGGCTACCTGTTATCGTGTCTTCTTCCATGTTAGTTGACGGAGGAAGACGTCGATGGAGTCTTGACATAGATATCGACTCCAGGATGAAAAAAGTAAAGTTAAAATAATTGGCAGTGCACGTTAATTTCTACCGTTGCAATATGTTCATCCAGGATTCCGGGTAGTGGATGTTTGATCATCAGGCCACCCTGTCTGCCTGTCAGCTGATGGAACCTCTCAGCTCTCCCGAGACAGGGCAAAGGCGCGGGGGGGGGTTTTAGGGGATATATTCGCGCAACTTTGACTCGGAGTGGCTTAGCCACGGGGGCTTGAAGTCTTGCGCGTACAATACAGGAAATAAAGAAATAAACAAGCTGAAAAACTTGAGGTGATACAAAATAACCCTTTAGTGACTCCAGCTGACTGAGTCAAGTCGTACATCAAGTCGTACAGGGCGATCCGAGCATTGGGTCGGGTTAAACTCTAATCCCAGCATAGTTCAGCAGTATACTGCCTACCTGGCCTGCCTACCCGGTACAGTGAGTTACAGTGAGTTAGAGGAAGTGTGAGTGATAATTACCACCCCCCCAACTACCCTAATAATGATGTGTTGTCCCTGTGGGCCTGCCTACCCTCTAGCGCCATCAGATAACTCATTCATAAATTAAAACAAAGCATGATCCACCACTAATCTTGGCTTGGCTTAGAATGATCTTATCAGATGCTGCATGCCAAGACCCCGAAACAGCATTGTCCTACCACTTAAGGTTTAGTCTCTGCGAATCATGGCCCCTCATCCCTCTTAGACCTCTTAGACCCCGTCCTCGGAGGCAAGGGAATCCCAACCTTTCCTTCGAGGTACAGCTTTGTATCTTCTGTGCATTGGAGTTAGTGTTACATCATAAAAACTATATACCGATCCAGAGTCGCCGAAATGAGAAGGCATCCCTTCAAGATTGGTCTTATGGAGTCCGTCCCTTGGCTCCATCTAGCCCCGTATCGCCATGGATGAGGTTGTATTGGCATTTACTACGGCGCATCGTGCTTCCGGATGCCGGCGAGGAGTAAAAAAAAAGATGGACCCATGGTGTCTGTTCGCTTGGGGGGGAAGAGGGAAAAATTTCTTGACATGTTGAATATGTTGGAAGCTTCGTGATTCAGGCAACAAACATCACAGGCGTCTAAGTAGAAAGGGATTTCGTCACAATGGGTGACGCGCCTCAGAACGATGATTCGAACGCCAGCGGAAGTGCAAAGGACACCGTTTTCCGTAGAGCAGCGTCAATAGCATCATATGTAAGGTTGCCGACATACTCTTCACGCTGCGTTTAACAAACTAATCGACTATGAAGGGATCACGAGGTCTCTTTCGATACTTCCGACTCCTGACCTACGCCGAACCGAGCAAAACCGACATTTCCTTGCTGGTAATCGGTACCATTGCCTCAATCGCTGCTGGAATTCCGTTCCCGCTTCTTGGTATCCTTTTTGGTCAGCTATTAGACGACCTTAACTCGGCAACATGTGCGGGTGAACAAGCAACCTCCCCGGAGGACTACCAGTCCGATGTGAATCAAAAGGTATTGCTAGTTATGGCTTGTGCCTTTGCGCAGCTTGCACTTGTTTACATATTCTCCGTATGCTGGAACCTGTTTGGCGATCGGCTCGCTCACCGGTTACGAGAGCGTTACTTCCGCTCCTTGCTACGTCAGGAGGTATCATTTTTCGACAAATTACCAGCCGGGGAGGTATCCTCGCGTTTGAGCGCCGACATTAACGTCATCAAAAGTGGTACATCCGAAAAGGTCGGCGTGTATATGGGCTCACTCGCAATGTTCATCACCTCCTATGTCGTGGCCTTTATCAAGAACGCTAAACTAGCTGGCATTCTAGTGTCATTGGTTCCTGCATTCATGCTGATGTCCCTTGTCGGCGGTCACTTTATTGGCAAATTCTCGGGTCAAGCATCACAACATGTTGCATCCGCATCATCCATCGCCCTAGAGAGCTTGTCAAACGTTATGGTTGTACATGCGTTCAGAGCTAATAACCGCCTCGAAGAAAAATTCGCCGATGAGCTCCTCGTGGCAAAAAAGAATGGCGTCAAGAAAGCTATCGCGACGGCCGTGCAGTCTGGGCTGCTATATTTCATAGCTTTCTCGGCAAGCGGATTGGCATACTGGCAGGGCAGTAAAACCATAGCTGATGTTGTTGCTGGTCGTGAGGAGGGAGTGACTGTTGGTACAACATACACTATCATATTCCTTCTGGTTGACGGTAAGACCCCTATACGGAGCCATTGTAACTGTCTTCTGACGCCAATTTTCTAGCCTCTCTTGTGATTAGTCAGATATCGCCATACCTACAGATCTTCGGATCTGCCACGGCTGCATTAGAAAAGCTCGAGAAGGATATAGATCGCCACTCTAAAATCGACGGAACGCTTCCCTCGCAGGGAGACGAATTTGAGTCATTCTCGGGTGACGTTACACTCGAAAATGTTGACTTCACCTACCCGTCTCGTCCCGACGTTCCCGTAATTCAGGGTGTAACGCTTCACTTTCCAGCAGGCCAGCAGACCGCAATCGTTGGTTTATCTGGTAGTGGAAAATCGACAATTGCCGGCTTACTGACTCGATTATACGATCCCGACCAAGGTACAGTATATGTTGATGGCCGAAATATCCGTGACGTGAACGTGCGCCAACTACGAAGCTTTATCGGACTTGTTCAACAGGACCCCTTGCTTTTGGATCGATCAGTCTTGGAGAACATAGCTCTCGGATTAGTGAACTCTCCTCGGCCGGAGCACGGCCCCCTGCAGCCTATCCTTCTTAGTACCCAGCTGTCACAAATAGCAGAGGCGGTGCGAGGCGGACAAGACATAGTTACTGCTGCGGAGTCATATGGCGATCTAACTGTTGAAATTGTGAAAATGATCCAGCGAGCGGCGAATCTTGCTGATGCTGACGCCTTCCTAGAGAACTTGGAATATGGATTCGGTACGACCGTTGGTCCTAATGGCGACCTGCTAAGTGGTGGACAAAAACAGCGCGTGGCACTGGCAAGAGCTCTGGTTAAAGACCCTAAGATTTTAGTTCTAGATGAGGCGACTTCGTCTCTCGATTCGGCTAGCGAACGGCGTATACAAAGCGCTATCGACAAGGTTTCTATGGGCAGGACAGTAATATCAATTGCGCATCGTCTAGCGACTGTCAAAAATGCTGACAATATCGTCGTCATGCGCAACGGTAAAGTCATAGAACAGGGCAGTCACATTGACCTCATTGCTAGAAATGGTGATTATGCGGCCCTTGTTCGGTTGCAGAATATGGGATCGGAGACTTCAAGCGTGAGCACTGCGAAGGGAAGCACTACGAAGGACCTGGCCCGCTCAGACACAGACATGGAGAAAGTATCTCGGTCCCTCACTATGGAGAACGAAAATGTTGGCGAAGCTGTCGCCACTGAAACCGAAATAGAGGTAGAAAAGGAGGCGAAGATATCCGATCAGTCGAGGCCGACATGGGCCACAATTAAGAGTCTAGCGACAATAACTCGACCTCATCTGCTCTGGGTATTTGTTGCCCTCTTCGCAGCTATCATTGTTGGCGGAACATATTCCGGATCAGCGTTGATCTTTGGTAACACGATCGGCGCTTTAAGCCCTTGCAACTCTGAGGATGCTATTCGAGCAGCGGGTAGCTTTTTTGGCCTTATGTTCTTTGTGCTTGCCATTATCGAGTTTTTCGCCAATGGGGTGAGTTGGTCGGCATTTGGCTGGATCGCGCAAAAGATTATCTATACAATCAGGGTGCTCTCTTTCCGCTCGCTATTTGAACAAGACCTGCAGTGGCACCAATCCGAGAATCGCACTCCGTCGATGTTGCTGTCGTATATCACAAACGACTCGGCTGCCGTCGAAGGTTTAACAGGTTCTATAATAGGAACTATCTTCTCTATCGGTGTTAACTTTATCGCCGCGGTCATTATGACACTCATTATCGCCTGGAAAATAGCAATTGTCTGTCTCGCAACAGTACCGCTTATGCTTGGCTCAGGAATAATGCAAATGCGTATCCTCACTCGTTTCGCAGAACGCCACGAAAAGGCATTTGCTAAATCTGTGAGCATCACTGTCGAGGCTGTGAACTCAATCAAGACTGTTGCAGCACTATCGCTCGAGCAAGAGGTACTCGGGACATACCGTCGCTCTCTCTCAGCGCCGCGTAGTGAGATGACGCGCTCCAGCCTATGGGCCAACCTATTCCTCGCGATTGCATTCAGCATGTCAAATCTCATCTATGCGTTCATCTATTGGTGGGGAGCCAAACAGATTATCGAAAGCCATTATACACAGGTCGAATTCTTCATCGTGCTGATGGCGCTTCTAGTTAGTGCTCAGCTTTGGGGTCAACTCTTTACCCTCGCCCCTGAAATAACGAGAGCGGGAAGGGCAGTGGGTCAGATTTTCGACCTCATCGACCTAAGCTCATCCAAAACCCTGTTGGCAAAGGGGGTAAATCATCGTGACCCAGAGGCGGCTGTTGAGTCAAAGAGAACATTAACATCAAATGCTAAGGGCCTTGCGGTAAGCTTCAAGCAGGTGAAATTCTCATACCCCGCGCGACCAAATCGACAAGTCTTGAAAGGTCTGAATATCGATATTCGCCCAGGCCAATTCTGCGCTCTTGTTGGTCCTAGCGGTGCCGGAAAATCGACAGTCATATCGTTACTAGAACGCATGTATAGCCCGGAATCGGGCGCGATCGAAGTCGATGGCGTAGATATCTCCGGCAGAAAAGAACCCGTCTTTCGAGATGACATCGGTCTGGTGCCACAGGATAGCGTCTTATTCGACGGTAGCATTCGGTTTAACGTCGCCCTCGGGGCTCGCCCAGACGAAGAACCATCAGATGCGGACATTGAGGATGCATGCAAGTTGGCGAATATTCACGATACTATCGTAGCTCTACCAGATGGTTACAACACACAGTGCGGTCCCAGCGGGGGTCAACTTTCAGGCGGCCAGAAGCAACGTCTTTCCATCGCGAGAGCATTGGTGCGTAAGCCGCGACTACTACTCTTAGATGAATCGACTAGTGCTTTGGATGCAGAGTCAGAAAGGCTACTTCAGGATGGATTAGAGAAGGCGACGCGGGGTATCACGGTGGTGGCTATCGCGCACCGATTGCATACTATCCGACGCGCAGACGTAATCTTCATGATCGAGGATGGGCAATGTGTCGAAAGGGGTACGCACGAAGAGTTGTTGACTCGTAGCGAGAGCTATCGCGTAAATGTTCTACACCAGACATTGGATGGATGAGGAGAGATGAGGGTCATCTCGGGATCTATACTGAGGCAATACACCCTCGGACATGAGCGCATAATGAGACGTCGATTATATAATATAACATGAAATGTTTATAGAGATTCGAGTAATTATAGAATAGAATTTGTATATACACTCTTTAATAATAAGTTTGTTGTTCTTGTAAAGAATATTGCTCTTGTGAGATCTTGTGAGATCTTGTGAGATGAAAGTGTAACCACAAGCACGAGTATGAAGATTAAAAATGTGGGTATCGGAGGACGGAGGACGGAGATCTCGGAATACAATTCGCATCTCCGAGCTTACCAGTACTATGGAATGAGATGAGACATGAAACTTAGGTGTGTATTAAATTACATCGAAACAGCCGACTTACACGAGATCAAACATCGTTTGTTAAATGTTAGATACTAACTACTTTGCCAAGTATATACATACTGCCTTGGATATTTTATTCTCGTACGAACATTACGTCAGGTATCCATTTCAACCCTATATCTGGAAGTCTTCGATTAAGTATATTTGCTTGTTTAGTTAGGTAAGTCTTGTCGCAGTCTTAAACCTTTGAATTAAACATCGAGGTTCTAAGCATGCACATGTACCTATGCATAAGTGCCTACCTACATATATGGAATAATAAATCTGGAATACATATGTATGAGGCAATTACCTTGAATATAGGTTAGGTATTATAGTCAAGTACCGCAGTACTCGTCGTATGTAATAATAGTCCGATTTCTTTAAGATGCTAGATCTAACTATGTAGAATGACCTCAGCTGCAAAAGGAGAAAAAGCCACATGATGCAGCTTCCACTTCCATTCCACCGGATCCCAAAAGGTGAGCTGAGTGTTATCGGAATTGAACATTAGAGGAAGGATCTGTCCCCGCTTAAAAGGAGGTGGGCTGACACTGACAACATTGAGCTGTCACTACTTTTGTTGTGTACTTCATACTGTACTACACTAAAGAAATCCTTGTCAATTCCGTCGCCCCATTTAGACAAAATCATATGATCACTAAAAATTTACACCGAGTCTAGAGTCTAGAGCCAAGAATCTGCCTCGACTATGCAGAGGAGGTTCTTTCAAATGGTGAGCGACACTACCTACATAAGCTAACTTACTCAAACTATGAGAGATCTGCGTCCCGTGAGTAAAGATAGGAAATAATCCAATAGGAATAGGAGTAAAGGATGGTAAACGCGGGGTCTTCCCCAACTTCCCCGCGTTTAAAGCCTGCAAGTTAAGACGCTAGGTAAGATTAAAGAAATCGATATGCATTCTACATATGTATGCACTCCAAGTCGACCGGAATGAAGACGGGACTGGCGGAGTTCCGCGCGGCCGAAGGCTCAACGCTATTCTCCTATCTGCAGCGCTACCAAGAACCAAAAACACCTCTCTTGCGTTTAGTGGTGCGGTCTGGTGCGTCTGCTCCGCCCGGTACCATAATCTGCACATAAGCCAAAGAAGCACCTGACATTCTAACAATCTCAAACCAGTCTTTCGCAGCGATCGTCCCTTGCGCCGTACATACCAACCAATGTCTTTCGCCCAGCCTACTCCGTACTTGCATACATACAAGTTAACTACGGTCTAGCTAAAACTCTAGATCGTCCGGCAACATGGATCCGCCTGTGGAAATTACTATGTACACTACTAGTACGGAGCCCCTAGGAGCCCCTAGGAGCCCCATTGTAGTTTGCGGTGGTGAGAGGGGTAAGGTGACGTTGAAGCATGCCACTGAAAGGAGACTTCAACGAGACGCTTTCGGGCGGGCGCGAGCTTTATTGGTCAATGCGACTTAATTTAGGTTGCTACCTACCTATCAACGGGCCTTTGGGTGTTAGGTGAAGAATATTATTTATACATCATGATTATCGCGTCAAACATTCTCAAGTCCACCATCAACATCAGACAACTTCGATATAAGTTAAATAAACTTTCGAAACCCAGACCAACTCTCATCTCATCTCAACCTCGATCACCCATATTGACCACTCCTCTAAAAAGAAACATGAGTTCCTTTCAAATTCCGAGCGAACAATGGGCGCAGGTCGTCGAAAAGACCGGCGGACGTAAGTAACCTTATACTGCTACCCAACGCCTATCTATTTATACACAGGCCTACCTCGTCCAGTCTCTAACATCAAGCAGCCCTACAATATAAGAAGGTTCCAGTTCCTAAGCCTGGACCTGATGAGGTACTCATCAACATCAAGTACTCTGGTGTCTGCCACACGGACCTACACGCCTTAAATGGCGACTGGCCACTTCCCACCAAGATGCCCTTCATTGGTGGACACGAAGGTGCAGGTGTTGTTGTCGCACGTGGCGAGCTTGTCAAGGACATCGAGATCGGAGACCACGCCGGTATCAAGTGGCTGAACGGTTCATGCCTTACCTGCTCCTTCTGCCAACAGTCTGACGAATCACTTTGCCCCCATGCCTTATTATCAGGCTACACAGTAGATGGTAGCTTCCAACAATATGCCATTGGCAAGGCAGCTCACGTTGCCAGGATCCCGAAGGACGTCAGCCTCGAAGCAGTTTCGCCCATCCTGTGCGCTGGTCTAACAGTGTACAAGGCACTGAAGGAGTCTGGCGCAAGACCTGGCCAGCAAGTCGCCATCGTCGGTGCTGGAGGTGGGCTTGGTAGCTTGGCTATCCAGTACGCCAAGGCAATGGGCTTACACACGATCGCCATTGACGGTGGTGAAGAGAAGGGCAAGCTCTGCAAGAGCCTCGGTGCTACAGACTACATCGACTTTACCAAGAGCAAGAACGTAGTCCAAGACGTCAAGGCAGCAACAGCAGATGGCTTCGGCCCTCATGCTGTCCTACTACTCGCTGTCAGCGAAGGTCCCTTCCAGCAAGCTAGCGAGTACGTACGTAGCCGCGGAACCATCGTTGCCGTCGGTATGCCCGCAGGTGCATACCTCAAGGCACCAGTGTTCGACACCGTAGTCCGCATGATCACCATCAAGGGCAGCTACGTCGGTAACCGCCAAGACACCGCTGAAGCCCTCGACTTCTTCAGGAGAGGGCTCGTCTCCTCACCTTACAAGGTAGTCGGTCTTAGCAAGCTGCAGGAAGTATTCGACTTGCTAAAGGCTGGCAAGATCGCCGGTCGGTATGTCGTCGACACAAGCAAATAGACGGGCTCGGGGTCAATAGAGTTTAAAGGGGTACGATAATGCTTTTCTTCTTCTATATATATAAAGTTCATACAGGCGGGTTGGATGATGCGACGACGGCTAGACGAGATGAATGAGTGTACCAATGTACCTACCAATTGAAATTTTGATATATCTTCACAACATTTCTTAGTGCTATGACAGTGTCAATCCTTACACGTGGCATCTTTCACGCCTCTAACAATGCCATCCGAAGTTGCACGGGCAAAAAGAACCCCGAGTAATTGCTATTAGTCTAATTAGTTCTAATAAGACTAATAGCAATCACTCGTATGCAGATAGATATCGCCAATAGATGATGTAGATCGGAATCGTCTCCAAAATCAGGGGTTACACAGTATATTGTAGGACTCCGAACATGCTCGCCCCTCAACACAGTATACCTATTTTCGTCGTGGATGCTACACACCCCCCCCCATCCAAATCTACCTATAGATCTTCGGAAGATGGCTGAAACCGCATGCCACTAGTGCTCGCAACCCATGCTCCCGGGTCCGCGTCTTTAAACGCAGAGCCCGCAGCAATCTGGTCGTACCAGACCTTCCTAGTCCCCTGAGTGCCCTCGTAGCCATGGTCGTGCCAAGCATTGGCGTACAGCCCGACTCTGAACTGGAAATATCGTCCGTCGCCCACGGTTGTCGGGAGGTTGTAGGCATCGACTACTTTCTCTCCGTCATACCACAGTTTGAAGAACCCGGTGTTGTCGCTCTTCCAGCTGGCTTGGATCTCGACGCGGTGCCATATTCCGGCGGTTACCGTTTTTAGGTTTTTGAATTCCTTGATCTTTTGCTGGTTCGTGGGGCATACGTTGCCGTATTTGACCCTGGTTGCTAGTTGGTCGCCGTCGATCCAAACCACTAAAATAATAACGGTTAACAATTGTATCTGCGAAGAGAAAGCGTAGAGTGATTATATTGTCCGAATAACAGAATTTTCCAATGATCTAGATCAGGAAATTCCTAGACAGTCACTCCAAAGGATAAGGGGTTAAGAGTAGTGCATACTAGTACTAGGCATGTAGTCCTCGCCACAGTTTAGATCCGAGAAATCGGCAATAAACTGGGCGAGATTGTAACCCTGGGCCGGGTTGAACTGCCAGCCATCCTGGAGTAGGAAGGCAAACCCGTAAAACCCAGCGTCACCTTTGCGGTAGACATTGTACTTGACAGCTTCAGAATGATAACGGCCATTGTAGCCCGAATCGTGGATTTGAGTCATTCTAAGAGCCGTAGGGCCCTTGTAGACCTGGTCCGTCACTTCATCGACGGTGCCCTTGTGTTCATGTGTAAAGGTATCCCATCCGGCCTTCGTTCCGGTGTTGTGCCAAGACTGCGTAGCTTGAACAGCTGTTAAGCCGAGGGCGAAGAGCACGCTCAATAGATTAATGTTAATCATCTTAGCTAGGACGAAAGGTAAGAAGATTTGTTAGTTATCCTTAGAAAGTTGAGGTTTGAGGGCTCCACGGCTTTCACATTAGGAGTACAAGGTCCTAATATCTTATATAGTACGATCTGGTGAGAGGTGAGCTCATTGTGGTAAGCTTACATACCTACCTAATGTATGTGTACGAGCTGGCCAACCAGATTGTCGGCAATCCTCAAAACTGGTAATTCACTAGTTGATGCCAGGGGAGCTGCTTACTTGATCCAATACCATCGCTAGCCTCCCCAATATTAGCCAGGGGGATCTTAGTTCGAAGGGGATGATAGTTCTCAGACAAACTGTTGACCACTTATTAGGGGTCTTATTTCCGAAACCAGACAGCCCTTCTGTTCAAACATACGACTAAGCTTACAGTGCCATATCAAGGAGCTTATTTTATTACTTTAGGCGGCACTATGAAGTTCGTTGCTTCAGTCAAATTCTTCTAGTAGAATATATGGCCAGCCCGCAGCTGAATACCAGGCTGTAGAATCATGCAGGGCTATTGTAGTTTAATATTAGGTACATATCTAAAAAGCCGCTGTGTCTTACCTACCTGCTGCAAGATTGGTATTGTGATTGATCACGTTATACGACGATAGCGAATGGAGATCTTATACACACTGCTCACTTACAAAAATGTACCTGTCATACTCTCAACTCCGCTTAGAGACATACGTGAGAAGTACGTCAGCAATAGTTCGAAGATCTAAGTCCGTTAAGAATGAAATAGCCTACATCATTTTACAAATCAAACAGACATAGAAACAACAGCATCCGTTGGACGGAGCCTATCATTCAAAATCCATGTGCCCAGCTCTCATCACTATTTGAATGTGTTTTATAAGATACCTATTCAAGTCCAAGATATTTAGTAAAGTTCCTAAATTTTATATGTATCCATCCAACCGTCCTAACAGAATAAATATACAGAAGCACGAGAACTAGCTCGCGCCGGCAACGATGCTTGATACTCTACCAGAGCACCCAATATCCCAATATCGAAGCGTGCAACTTAGCTATCTGATCCTACTTATCAAAACCATACTAACCACGAACGAGCTAGAGTGTCCCAAATCTCCGCCGTGTCTACCTAAATAACCCCCAACCCACCTAGTCCATTCTAGTTTGAGTTATATTATATCTGTTCACCCAGATTTCTTGGCAACGGGTGCCAAGTGAATATTCAAGGCCGGCTTTTCCCACACGGTGAATGACCTTTGGTTTAAGATCCAGTTTCGACTATCATCATCGATCGATATGTCGAAGTTGTAAATAATCTTGGCCAGGATGAGACGCATTTCAGCGTATGCGAGACTATAGCATCATGTGTTAGCAATTCATATCTCCCACCACCATGCCTTTATACCAGGATAACAGGACTGTGAATGAAACTCGACTGATACTTACTTTCTACCGATGCAGTTTCGCGGTCCGGTGCTAAACGGTTGCATGGCGTCCTGCTGGTCGTCCTTGTATTCCGGATCGCCCAGCCACCTCTCGGGGGCAAATTTGAAAGGATTCTTCCAGAATCGCGGATCGTAGTTGACAGCCCATTGGAAGACGGAGACGACGGTCTATTGCGATCAAATCGAGTAAGCATTGCTATATATAACTGGAGAAGGGGTAGTAAATAAATCACTCACGCCTTCAGGTACAAATGTCCCTAAGATTGTCGCGCCTCCTTTAGGTGTAATTCTCGGCAGGTCGCTAGTAACTGGAGGATACTGTCTCAAAGACTCGTTGAGGCATGCAAGCATGCTAGGTAGAATCCTCGTTAGCGAACGGTACGGCCTATGGATGAATGTTCAGAATGACACTTACTAATGCAGTTGGCTAACAGATGTGAGAGTGATCTCCTGGTCGCTCCTAAAAGTAGAACGGACCTCTTCAGCGACCTTCGCGAGCTTGTCCGGGTTCGTAGTCAAGAGGTAGGTTGCTCCGCTCAAAAGTGTGGCTGTAGTTTCCGAGCCCGCGACGATCAGTAGATTTGCGTTGCTAACGAGAGTTTCGAAGTCCATGCCCAATTCATCCTTCTTTTTCACCAACCCTTCGATCAAGTCAGGCCTTTCTTTGCCAAGTTTGATTCTCTCGTGGAGTGTTTCCGAGACGAGGTTGAGGCTCTCCTTATTCTTGCCCATTAATCCCCATCGGTAAATATACTTCACTACCGGACGTAAGCCCAAATGCGCCAAGCTCTGGAATGCGGATGACTCCCTGAAAGTCTCCGTAATGAGCCTCACCCAAGGATGGTACTATTATGAGTTAGTAGTTTCTTCCACGTTCTCAAGCGGTCGGATGGAATCAAGGAAATGGTATTTAGTATCACGTACACCTGTGCCCTCTAAGCAACCGAATGACCTCCCGAAACCTAGGTCGCCGATGACGTCGAACGTTGTCCAGTTATACCAGTCTCGCATGTTAAGGCGAGCCGCGCCATTCTGGGCGTTCTCGTGTAGCCGTTGTATTAATAGTTCCACATATCCCTTGATCAAAGATTCTTGCTCTCGCATCGACTTATCGGAAAACCCGTGTGAAAGCTGCCGGCGAAGGATTGCATGTTCCTTACGTTCGGCTGTGATAAGGCTGTGAGGGAGATCGGTATTTGTTGTGTAGAATTCTATAGGCTTCGAGTTAGCATCCACACATGTCAAATATGTTTCAAATAGGGCTGTAGTAGGAAAGGATAAGACCATATTGTTCTGTTTAGTATCCATAAAATGTCACGCAAGCTAGAATGACCCGCTCGAGAGTCATAAGTGGCTTACCTGGCCATTTGGAGTTCTCTGGGGCATTGCCAACGCGGTGACCATAAATATCTTTCCATGCTTGGGGGTCGTTGAAGACAACTTCGTAAGGTGTGAGTCGGAGGACTGGTCCGTATTTGTTGTGCAACTCTCCAACTTTAACGTGTATATCGCCTTTTAATATGTGATAAACTCGCGGCAGATTGGTGAGGCGCCAGAGGAACGGCCCGGGGACGGAGCGTAAAGGATCCAAGAAGAGTCTATAGAAGATACTCCCTACGACGTAGAGAGTTAACTAGGTAATTATAGTGTAAATATTAGGCAAACTAGTAACTATTAGACCTTTAAAGGCTGGACGATCTGTGACTTACACATGCTGCTCCTATTAAAGGAATATTAACGGGATTGCCTAACTCGAAAACAGGCGCCATGGTGAACTTCAAGTGCTAGAGCTCCTAGTTCAGTCACGCCTTTGCTTTCTCTTAAGCAGACTTCTTCATACCACCAGTAACGGGGAATACTCTCACTTATATATCGGGAATTTGGGCTCCCCATACCGACAAGTCCTCGCGGAAGGATATTCGATGGCAGTACAGTATACAGCATCGCTAATCCCGAAAGGCATTAACTCAAAGCCTTGACCTATTCACAGCGGACAATATACCCCTATAAGGCAACCATACTTGGCCATTCTCCAACGGCCCTGTGCCGTCCCGTAATCGTTTACGCATATCTTACGATTTGATAATTACGAATTAGACGAAGAATTTCCCAACCAATAGCTGAACAGAGTTTCCGAACTGATCTACTTATAGAGGCTAGACTACATCACGATCCTTGTGGTAGATCACCCGTTAGCACTAGGGGATTTATGTTGCTTTGTATAATCTCCCCCACAGACGATCCCGGCCCGCACAGTCCCGGTGCACAAGGTGTACGTCGGCAGTCCAAGACAAGGTTGTAAATCTAGAACAGACCCATATCTATTGGTTGGAAATAATTACCTTGCCGTATCATGTACATAATATGATTCGTCGCGTCGATTATCGATCGTAACGTCTTCGCCCCGATGGGCAAAGCGTCGAGACGGCAGCCCTTCCGAATGCGCAGAAGACACGGCGTCGTCAAGTTGACAGACTCGACGGGCTCTTCGAGAAACCCGAAGTTTTGCTCGCTTAGCAAAAGCCGAAGTCGCCATGAAATCCGTAACGTAGCAGTACCGGACCATCGTTCAGCCGCATAATAATAAAAACTCTCCGAACTAACATTATATCTCTTATCTAAAGTCAGGCATTGCTAATTATAGTCTTATGACTGCGTAACCCAACAGGGTTGATATTGTGTAAGTAGAGGTCACCCCCCAGGCAACACAAAAGCCTCAGGTTTACACCGTACCACATTCTTATATCATAATACTGCCAATTGCACAACGTACACATAAAAGAAGTCGTTTAAGCCGCCGGAGAACTATATTACCAACAGGACCTAGAAAAGATATATAAGATACTAAGATTAGTAGCCTTATAGGCCTAGAGAGGCCAGCCACGGCGTTAAATGCCCGCATATACACAAACGTGCACGTAAAACCAAGAGCAAAATATAAATAAAGGTATAAACCTCAGCCTATTACAACTTACCTGGTAGGGGTTATGTAAAAGTCCCGACCTCTCACCTGATACCCCCACCGATAAAGCCGGGTATAAATAAATGACATCTAAGATCAACATAGGCGCTTTGATTCAAGAGTTGACGGATACTTAAAACCCTTGAACTACATGTAGTCCATTGACAACGAGGTGACATACGCAGTTTATCTTCTGTTATCAAGCGGCACCGGAGAAAAGAGTAGAGAAGGGGTAGTAAACCCCTGTGCAAACGATTGGATATATTCCATACTAGAAATAAAGAGACAAATGCCTGAGGGTATGTAGGATAAGATATTACACTGCTCCAAACCCCCGGAGCATGAAACGCCCAACTCCGCTAGTAACTATGATGCATTCCTTCAAACATGATTCAAAATGATAACAGGATGAGACGTAATTATCTTCAGCCCGAAAGTATCCCGGGAGATAACCCCAACCCTTACGCCATAATGCGACCCCAGGCTGCGCGTAATTCCACAGCAAGACTCAACAGGTCTTACGGTACTAGGCGCCAACCCTCACACCCGTAGAAGATGGAATACCCCTTCCAGTGGAGCCGTGGTTCTCATCAGGCTTTTGCGCGGCACCACCATCCGACTGATCAGCCATCAGGGGTTTCTTTGGATCATACCCAACCGACTTGACAATGCCCAGACCCTTAGTTCGCCCTTCACGAAATAGAAGCCTGTCGCCCGGGGCCAAGTATTCTGGTCGCTGAACAAATCGGAATGCTACGGTCGCCCGGTCACCGGTTCTTATGAAGGGGCGGTCTACATCGATTATTGCGCATGTCTGGGAGACTGGCCCGACATGAAGCATTGCCTGATATTTGGTCTTGATGGTGGTCGCATGCGAGAGAATCAAGACCTCGGCGACAAATTCACGGTAGACTTTAGGAAGCGGTTGCCCCTCGACTTTTGGTAAGACTACCATTCCTTTCCTCACATCTTTTCGGCGTATTTTCTTCAACGCGAAACTAGCGGATTGGCCTGCAGACGCTGCGGGTACACTGATTCTTTTTCGCTCGATAGACCGAATGCTAGTTTGAGTGAACTGACCCAGCGAGTCCGGTCCGATTAAAACGCTATCGCCAGTATGTACTACCCCTGACTTGACGATACCACTAACTACCGTACCAACGAAAGGGACAGAGAAGGTATCATTAACATGGAATTCAAAAGGAGCGTCCGTGTCATAACGTCCATGATGCGGAAGGATATTCAAGAATGTGCGAACAAGGTTAAGATTCTCGCCGGTAACGTTGGAGACCTGGAATATAGGACATATTCGTTGACTCACAAACTGGGTAGCGGTGTTGATACACTCTTCGCGATTGTTAATAAATATAGGCATTTTTCGTGCCGCTGGAGATTTTAGGATTTTGGTAATCTGCTGGATGGTCTGTTCCAAAATATTTGGAGGACAGATGTCAATTTTGGTAACCACCACCATGATTGGGACATTTAAGGCCAAAGCGATACCAAGATGTTCTTTACTCATGCCAATTAGCCCATTATTGGCGGCGACCATTAGTAAACAATAATTAGGGCTGCTAGACAACAGGCCAAAGACTGTAGTTCGTAGATAGCGTTCGTGGCCGGCTAAGTCGGTGAAGGTGATCACTTTAGCGCTGCGTTTGCCAATTTCTTCCCACGACAGTTTCCCTACATCACAGTAAGCGGCAAGAAAAGGACAGTTGGGATTTTGAACAACTTACTCCCCGGGGTGTCGGATGTAACAACATTTCCCATGGTGTCGAAACCCATTATTTCCATCCCGACGGAACTAGTGCGACCAGTTTCTATCTCGTGTTTGTGACGGAAGAGATTGACGCGAGCTTTCCCTCGCCCATCGTCGAGGTCTCCCTTAACCAAGACGCCAAGCATGGAGCTTTTCCCAGCATCAACTATATATGAGTGTCAGCACAGCTGTTTATATTATTTTACACGCAGACTAAACTCACCATTACCAACAACGGCTATTCTTGTTTCGATGACCTGCTCGATTGTAATAGGGGTTTTTCGTATTAGAATTTTCCCGGTGCAGTCTTTGTCTTTACTCTGGTTCCCTGCAATTGTTGACTCAGCTTCGACGTCGCCCCCAACATTCTTGGTGAGCAATATATCACAGTCGGCGTGAGCCTTCTTAGCCGTTTCTTTTAAACGATCTAATGCAATGTTCCACTCGTCGCTGGTGAGGCGCATCGATTCACCATTATTCTCAAATCCTAGGTCAAAAACTGCCTCGCCATGGCCCTCCAAGAGTCGTTCGTCGATGTACTCGGAAAGTTTCTGTTGGGCTGTTGCATCGTCGGAACAGGCGAGTAGGAGATCGCGTAGTGGTACATGAGGTTCGGAATCGCCTAGGTTTAATGAGTCGAGGATGTCGAGCTCTTCGTGGTGCTCAACGCAGTCGGTGGCTTTGGCACTCGGGTATCGCAATGCTTGTTGCTTTTCAACAAATTCAGCGAACTCGCTTAGGGCCTTATAACTAAGTTAGCAGATCATATCGAGAATAGGCAAGTTTTTTATGTACCGCTTCTCCTTTTCGCCGTTCATGCGGCAGCTGTTTCGCGCCTTTGCTCGTCATGTTTGCTGGTGGTTCGAGACTTGCAAGCGCAAGTGGAGCATTAATACTAGTATATTCGAATGATCATTGAGGGAATGAGAGAGTATTTGAATATATGTAGGTCAGGTTCGCTATAGGTATTATATCAATTGTAGATATGAGCGAAAGATCAAGTGAGGCGAAAACTTAAAAAGAATTAAGTACTTTGAAAGTTCCTCAAGATCGAGTCATATGTAATATTGTCGCACTGACGAGGTTTCTAGCCAACGTTGTGGATAGCTTCTAGCTAGCTACCAGGGTAGCTAACTTTAGTATGGGCCTTCTCGCCTCGTATAAGAGGCCATATATATACATAATAGATAATTATCTTTTTAAATTAATTTAAGCTTTTATCTTATTTAATCGTTTTATATAATATTTGTTTAATAATTATAAATTTTAATTTATATTTAAAATAATTATTATATTAAACATTTAAATTATTATATTAAAATCGATTATTTTTTTTTATAATTTTATTTATTTATTTATTTATTTTTATTTTTATTTTATAACGTTTAATATATTATTTTTAATAATTTTTAATATAATTATTTTAATTATTATTAAATTTAATAACCGATAAAATTTTACCGATTAATATATATAGTTTTATATATATATTAAATGGCGTAAAATATAATTATACGTTAATTTTAATATATAAAATATGTTTTATATTATAATTTATTTATTAGTTAAATTAACGATAATTGTAATAAAAAAAAAAGTTAAAATAATAATTATAAATTATAAATAAAACTTTTTTATAAATAATAAAATAAATAATTTATATAATAAAAAAAAAGGATTTTTTAATAAAATATTTATTTTAAATAATTAAATTTATATATTATATTTAAATTTAAACTTAAATTAATTATACGGTTAATTTCGAAATTTTATATTTTATTATAATAAAATTTAAAATAAATTAATTAAATAAGCCATTATTAATTTAAAAAATCGTTTATTTATTTTATAAAAAATTAACATTATTTAAAAAAAACGTTATTATTAATATATATTAAAAATATAAAATAATTATATTAACGGTTTAATTTTAATTAAACCTTAAAATATAATATAAATAATAAAAACGCGTATATATTAAAATTAAAACTTATAATTTAACCAAAATTAAAAAATAATTATTTATACAAAAATTTTTTAAAGTTATAATTATTAAAATAATTTTAAAATAAACTTAAATATAATTTAATTAAATAATTAAAAATAAAGTATTAAATTACACGTAATTTATGTTAAAAAATTATAAAAAATAATTAATAATTTTGTTATATTAAAAAATAATGCCGTTAATAAATTTAAAAGTATTTATTATTAAAATAAAAAGTATGTTAAAATATATTTATTTATATTTTAAAAAGTTAAAAAATAAATACAATTAATTAATAAAACATTATAAAAGGTTTAAATATACTGTTTATAATATAAACAATTTATAATTTTAATATATATTTAATTAAAAAAAATATAAATTTATAAAAATACGTTTTAAATTTACGAAATGGTATAAATTGTGTTAATAATTAAATAAAAAAAATAACCGTTATTTTAATTTAATAATAATATAATCTCGAAAATATTAAAAATAAAAATATAAAATAAAATTATTTTTAACGTTTATTATTTACGTTTTACGTATTTACTTTTAATTTTATAAAAAAAAGTAAATTAATAACAATTAATTTATTTTTTATAAATATATTTAACTTTATATAAAAAAGTAAATTAATAATAATTAATTTATTTTTAAAAAATATATATTTTATTTTATAAAAAAAGTAAATTAATAACGGTTAATTTATTTTTTACGGGTATTATAATTTATTAAAAAAATAAATTAACGACGGTTAATTTATAATTTATAAATATATGGGTTAAATTAAATTATTTATATAAATTTTAAATTATGGTATTTATAAAAAATATTAATAAAAAAATAAAAATATTTATTTAAATATAATTTTTTTATAACTGTTATTTTAACTAAAAAATAATATATATATTTTTGTAAATATATATAAAATTATAAATAATTATTATTTAAATTAAAAAATGGTAATAAAATAAAAAAAATAGTTTTATTAACTATATAAAGTTTTTTAAAATAAAAGTCTTAAAAGATTTAAAAGTGTATTACATTAATAAGGTTTTTAACCAATGTTATAAATAGTTTTTAACTAGTTATTAAGGTGGCTAACCCTAGTATAAGCCCTTTTGCCTCGTATAAAAGGCCATATATACACACGGTAAATAGCTATCTCCTCAGATCAATTTAAGCCCTTATCTCATCCAATCGTCTCATACAGTATCCGTTTAATAAATATGTAAAATCAGTCGGTCAATGAGTAATTCGGCAAGCTCGGGGCAAGGCGCAGGGCATACCGTCATAAGCCACATGAACCTACCACGTTTCCGAAAGCTCCCCGCTCCACCCCGCGCCGCTAAAGATTCCCAACAATTTATCGATAACAGCCCAGTAAGGCTACCTAAATTGAGAACGGCGGCCAATCACCTTTAACTAGGTATGTAGTTAATATAAAAGTGCGATAAGAAATGATAACCTAGACACTTTCCTAAGTTCTATAGTCCACAAACTCAGGACCACGCTATAAATAGAGATAATACTGACAAAGGATGTGTTCAGTACCTACGTATAACCACAGACTTCCGTAGTTAGGCTAGAGTTTCTCGCAGAACAATGAAGTTGTTTCTATGCTGTTTGGTTCTACCTCGTGACACTAACACATCCCCGTTCGATGTTACCAAGTACTCGGTACGGCGATCTCCACAAGCTGCAGGTACGTTGCAGATACGTATTTCTCCATAGGTATGAGAGAACTGAGACTTGAGGTAAGACACAACGTATATCTCTTGAGACCTGCAAATTTGCTGCCAATGGGATTGGAAAGGTGTAGAGGTATATCGTTCCGAGTTATTGAGAATTATATCGCCCCAGCTTATATTAAGCCTACTCACCGGCATTGCTGATAAAAGCGCTAGTAAAACAAGCCTTTAAACACTTCTGGTGGCTTATTTAGTGAGTATACTTTCACATTGATCTACCTTGGTGTCACATTAGAAACATGGTTTTCTTTTAAAATACTGCCGTCCTAGAATGAAGATAGCCTGTTTACTATATAGTTATCTAATGAAATAAAACCAGTGTATTTCTTATAATCTGTTACCCTAGAAATGTGATGAGCCTAAAGATTATGCGAGACAGGCTTTCTTGCATAAAGTGTTCATTATTTCAAACCGCATGATTGAACTAGAATACTTGGGTAAGTACCTATACAGGAAAATACTCACAGCATAGATACGCTCATATATACGTGCGGCTAAACCATTATATAAGAGAAACACCCGAGGGCCTAGACACTTCTAACGATAAATCGAATATGCCTGCCGAACACGTGCCCGGCCTAGATTAGATGGCCCTTTTGATAGCCACGTGCAGCTTACCTATATGATACAAGTGCCAAGATCTCTTTAAAGAGACAGCGTCGGAGACTTATACCCATGGAACTATGTCCTCAAGTGCGAGGGAGACACAGGTACATATTCCACTTATATTGACAAATTAAGACTTTGAAAAGACCCAAAACTTGCCACTTTAAGAATGGTGCAAAAGTCTCAAGAAATAAGATGTAAGTAGATAATGTACCGTGTCTCCCTCGCACTTGAGGACATACTGAGAGGAGAAGAAGAAAAGGTATGTAAATTACCCATTGGCGACGACCTCTAGATATTATATACTTGGATAGATACACACGGGCTGAAATTCAAATCCAGTAAATACCTGATATTCCCCAGGCCGCTCGCCCTTTAAACGAGGGTCTCATGCTCGAGCACTTGTAAGCGCACATTGGTGAGGCCGAGTGTACAATATAGAATATTTCTCACTAGACAGAATTGTACTATTACATCGCCACGGCGGTGGGAGCCGAAGATAGTTTCACATGACCAACTTTGTTAATGTATCGTCTAGGGCAAGTGACTGCAATAAGCCACACGGCATTCTCGCGCAGTGTAACGAGACAATGCACCGTACTGGTACAACCCCATAAATTAATTCCAAGCCGTCTCTGGTCCGGATTCTTTAAATACCGACTAACTAGTAGCTTTGTCATACTGCGAAATCACCCAGCTGGAGTTTTTGGACTGGCGAGACTGGATAGATTTCTGGCACCGGTGATGATAGGCAAGCGCCGGGACTATCTTCCGTGTGTACATATTTGACGAGAGAAGAAGCATCAGTCACCAACGAGGAACTCCCTATACCATGGGGGAGGTAGTATCATATCCTGCTAGCTTCGCCGGGGCCGCCTTGGCCTAGACTCTGCCTAGCTAATATCTCCTATTATGACGCCGTATCCACTCAATCTGGATAGTGACCGATTTGGCGCCTAGACCTCGACGTTATTTATGTCTTGTCCTAGACGCCATTAACTTCATTAGGTTTCCCATCACGGAGATGAAGGGTCCGGCAGTTCAGAAGCTAGTCTACAAGGGGTCAAGAGGTTTCTGGGGAATTGGGGTAGCTAAGCAGAATCAAGAACGCATGAAGCGGGGAATTCTTTAAGAGATGAGCATTTGGGGAAAAGACATGTGGAGAAATTTGGGGGCTAGCCTTAGAGACCGGAAACGATACCCGATCTACATCCGGCGTCGAGGCTGTTATGTGTCACTTGACTTTGAATCTACATCTCAGTACCGGTAATGGACCATTGTGAGACCCAGGTTGTCGGGTATGCTGATCTTCGCCGATTCTAGTAGGGATCGGTTTCTGCTTATCTCACGATGAACGTTCATCCATCCATCATAGAAGTTAACGGGTCGAAGATATGAAGAATTCCGAGTTACCATGTCAAAGGAAACTCGGTGAGTTAGATTCGTGATGATATATTCGCATGATAAAAAGAACTGTTGATAGAATATATGATGCAAATGTATATACGAGGTTCGACGTATAAGATACATGAGGCTACGGCGTGAAGTAAGAGGTTAGAACGTGACCCTGTTCTAGCCCGATCTTCAATCAATTTTAATGAACTGAGAGGAGAGGTAATTTAATCAACCGAACATGATATTAATCTGTGATGTCTTTGTAGCCGCCTTCGGATTATTCAAACGGATGGCTAGACGCTGAAAGGCGCTATGGCGATTTCAAGCCGGCAGAGTCGAAGGCTTCTGGAGACGCTCACTTTAGAGTAGCTGAGAATGGTTACTCCCTCCGTTTGATTTCGTGACATCAGTTTTGACAGTGCAGTTCTCGTGGGTTCGTCACTTGCATCTTCAATTGATCTCAGTCCGTGGCCAAGAAGCGAGCCGCGTTCAAGCAAGCAGGGCAAGCAGTGTATTATGACCCCTGTCCACGGGTCTGCAAATCTAGGGTAACCGCAAATCATTTCCTCATTTAACCGGATCGTGAATCTGATTTGATATCTTCACCCAAGACTCTGGGCTATGAAACGAAAGAGGACCGTCTTTCCTCTCTCGTACGATGTGGTCCACGATCTAGTCCTACATTCGCCTCCGCAAACGACTTTCCCGTCTAAGTAGAGTTGCGTTCACGATGAAAATAAAAAGGCAGCTTGATCATGTCATTTTTTGAGCTTGAAGTTCAAGCAAGCCACTAGCTTCAGACTTCTCACTCATCACACCATCTCAGCATAGGACCTACCACTTGCTAGGTTCTTTCTCTTAAGATGTATAGCAAAGCTACCACCGCCGCTTTGGCGACTCTGCTGGCCCTAGGTCACGCCCAGGAAATCGGCAAGCAGGACGCCGAGACGCATCCCAAGATCACCTGGCAGCGCTGTACTGGACCCAATAAGTGCTCCAACGTCAACGGCGAGCTCGTCATCGATTCCAACTGGCGATGGACTCACGTGGTGGATGGCTACCAAAACTGCTACGACGGCAATGATTGGAACAAGACTGCATGCCCGGATGCCAACACTTATACGAAGAACTGTGCCATCGAGGGTGCCGATTACTCGGGCACATACGGTGTGAGCACCTCCGGCAACGCTGTAACCATGAAGTTCCGAAATAAACACCAGTATGGTGTAAATATAAGGTCCCGCCTTTATCTTATAAACGGCGCCAATAAATACCAGATGTTCACAGCCAATGGCAACGAAATCGCCTTCGATGTCGAGAACGCTAACCTGGGCTATGGCCTGAACGGTGCCGTATACTTCATGTCCATAGACGAAAATGGTGGAAAGTCGCGCTACTCGTCCAACAAAGCCGGTGCCAAGTATGGTACCGGATACTGCGACTCGCAGTATGCTCGAGATCTGAAGTGGGTTGGTGGCAAGGTAGGCCAGACTCAAGCAGTCCCAATATCTAAATAGGACGTTAACTAACTTTACGCTTCTTCTTTAGGCCAATGTTGAGGGCTGGCAACCATCAAAGACGGACAAGTCTTCTGGTATCGGTAACTCGGGAGCCTGCTGTGCTGAAATGGACTTGTAGGAGGCTAACAGCATGTCCTTCGCATTGACCCCCCATCCATGCAAGAAAGACGGATACTTCGTTTGCAAAACGAAAGACTGCGGCGGTACATACTCCGAGGATCGCTACTCCGGTAGCTGTGATCCTGATGGCTGTAACTTGAACCCGTTCCGTCATGGCAACACCGACTTCTACGGTACGGGAAAGACGATCGATACCAGCAAGAAGTTCACAGTCGTGACCCAATTTCACGGCTCCGGCACATCTCTCACAAGCCTATCTCAGTATTTCATCCAGAACGGCAAGAAGTTTGAAGTTCCCAAGTCCAAGTATATGTCTGGTGGCAGCACGATCGATGCTGGCTTCTGTGGTACGTTTTTGTTCGAATATCCACACTAATATCAATACCGCTAACGCTTAATCCTGCAAATAGATGCTGCTAAGGATCTTTTCAAGGACAACAAGCAGTTCCAAGAGATGGGCGGTTTGAAGACGATGGGTCAGGCTACCGGTAAGCCTATGGTCTTGGTCTTATCCGTCTGGGACGATGTAAGTGGAATATACCACCTGCCCTTAGTGAATAGTGTAATCTGACATTTCGATAGGCTTACGCCAACATGCTTTGGTTGGATGGCGAGAGGTACCCTCTTGACCGCGCCGCGTCCGAGCCGGGTGTTGCCCGCGGCGAATGCGACGTCAACGGCAGCAAGCCCGACCAAGTCCGTGAAAAATTCAAGAACGCCAAGGTCACTTACAGTAACTTCAAGTTCGGGCCCGTCGGATCGACTTATAACCTTTAAGTTGGCGCGCGTTCCCCACTCCCCGCAAAGGCGGTTGTGGTCTAGACATGAAGGATCCGTTCACTTCACTGTCATAATTCTTACAACAATTAGTTCGGATATACGGGATAGTTAAAAGATAGAAGTAAAAGTATTCAAGTGAAGGTTTCCATCGACGTTCCCCACCCAAAATAATTTGCACTTCGAATATACACTATGTACATCTTATGCCACTTGTAAGAACCTTGACATATGATGTAACGTGCCTAAGGTGCCTAATAGTAGTTATTGATCACTTGTTGGTAACAAGGCATAGTTAGGTCCATAAATGAGAAATGAGATGTGTCACACCTAAGTATCACCTTCCTGTCTTGTAGAATCGACGATCTAGAATTGATGTTGACGATATGTACTTCAAGAACTGTGAGCCTATGACAAGCGAGGTCTCCATAGGAACTATACCGAATAGAACGAGGATCGAATAGCCGATATAAGGTATCACGAACAAAAAAAATACAGTCCCTGTTTGCCCTTGTCTAGGGAAAAATATTTTTTCCACCGATGGATCGGCGGCAAGTTGCGGCTCATAAAAGAAGTGGATTGGAATATCCACATAGAAAGAAAATCTAGTTCGCGAGTTGTGGATAACTTGGGTGAAAATATTTCAGAAGTTGTGACCAGGTGGGGCTTTCAGAAGATTCAAATTGAGTTCGGCGAGCCCCGCCGGATTAATTGCCTATTAATTGTATGGGGAAAAAATAATTTTCCTGTCACCAGGAAACATGGACAGTTGGTTACACCATGTACTATGTACCATGTACCTAGGTTACAAATGTACAGAAGTACAAAAATACAATTCATGTGACAGCGGTAGATCTCCGATATGAGATCGATTTTAATTTTAAAGGATGTCAAGTTTAAAATCTCAAATTATTACATAGCAGCTATGATTTCTAAGGTAGAGTCACACAGGCCTATTCCAAGATTGGATAGTCAGGGGAATATTCAGATTTCAAAGTTTGATCTTTTTGCCGTTGTTTTCCATTTTAGCATTTTCCTTGTTCTCTTCTAGAACTTGGTTCAGACCTCTTCCAGGTCCTTCGCCCACTTCCGCCGGCCCCCGATTTGGTAAACGGTCGCACCGCTGTGGATCTTATAGGGTAACGATCGAGTAACGCGGCCCACCAGCCATCTCTCCTATGTATGTATAGCTCTCTAACCTAGTGGTTCCAGCAGCCATCGTATGTTCTCCGTCCTTCACGATGGCTTCGATCAAGTGGGTCTATGAAATTTCTTACATATGTACCAGATCATAGTAAGGAGTCCGCCGCGAATAGAGCTTTGTTTATTTCCCGAATTAGCCAGGATAGGTGATCCGAGCTCATGAGTTAATTCGGCGGTGTGGTTGTCTCCATTGTATCACAACGTCTGATGAAGGCGTCATTGTCAGTATGTACATAGTTGAAATACCTAGCATTACCTGGTACGTAATTGCTGTTTGCATGGCAATTATTGCATCAGCTGCTCCGTCTTCCCCAGCTAACCTTATCGGTTCCTCTACGTCCATATGCTCCGACCCCGTAATGTGTGCAGGGCTGATTGCGGGGCACTTTGCGGCGTTTATGTTGTAGAAATTAGGTGTATACATTAAGGTGTGTAGTATGGTTTACAAAAAATCTTATAAGACTTTCGCCATGTATTGTAGAAAAATAGAACGCGTCTTCGTTGGCCCCTTGCCCACAAAACAGGTACCTAATACTTAACAGTGCTTCTAAAAAGAGGCATGAAAATTTAATAGTCAGGATCCCCCTTGAATCTGGCCAAATTTTCAAGTCGCCGCTTACGTAAATTCAGGGCCGTCAAAGTCGTTTGTACCTTACGGAGTCAAACGTGTACAAGAAAACTTAAGGATAAAGACCGAGAAAGAGGCGCCAGACAAAGAGCAACAAATCAGTTACGGGCGTTTGAATGCGTGCTGAGGACCCCCTGTAACCGCTGCGACTTAGTGGAGGAGCTTGAGGGCCTTGCCCGCCTGTAACTTGTAGAGTTTGCGCTGTAACTACAAGGGGCCGGACCCAGTCCGTCTCAATCCATGACACATAATTACTTGATGGAAAGCTCTGGTCGAAAGCATGATGTGAAGCAAGCCTTTAATTGCGCCAGCTACATAACGTCTTGGTCATCCGCCATATTACATATGCCATGATGGAAACTTTATTGCTAGTATTAAAATATAACTTCAAAAGAGGACGTAAGCGTCAACGAAGCGAAGTACACCGAAACTCGACTATCCTTTAATATCATCCTCGCCCGTCAGCCCTACACCACTTACACCACTTACACGATCCACCCAACTACATAGCAACGCCGCGCAAGGTCACAACGGATTTTTATTTATTTATAGAAACACGCATTCAAGAAGAACCAGTCGAGGTCTAAGACCATTGTTAGCTATTCTTCAGCTTCTTACCTTGTCACCGTTCCATCGAGACTCTTCCGTGGCATGCACTTACGGACGTCATCGTGACCAATCAAAAGCCCACAACGAATCTTGAACATTCCTAAAAGGGACACAAAGTACCGGTACCAGAAATCGTGGTAAAAAAGAGCAAGAAAATAATCGAAAGTCGACGAAGTTATTCGGTTACGAATCCGCATATACGATCATTTCTCTACTACTGCGGTTGTATTTCGCCGTTGCCCAGCATTGTCTCAAACGCAACAAAGAGGTGGCCGCCAAAGCCGGATGCATTAGTTCAGGTTCAGGTTCTACATACCTAGATCCATCGGCATCGGCATCGAGCAGCAAGCGAATCGCAGTCGCACCTACTTCATTCTTTACCTTGGGTACTACTAGCGCTTTTAAGACGCAAGGAAGTCACACGACGTAAGAGGATCCACAGGTCCAAGTGACCTAAAGCTATTCATCAAAATGCCACATCGAGTAGTAGACTTTTTTAGGTCTTCTAACGACAGTATTCACAACATCAAGGCGTCCGTACAACGGAGGAGTAATCCCAACTCTCGATCCGCCTCTAGAGAACGGCCCACCGTAACTACGGTACTCGGAAGTGCCGCCGATCACACTCAATCCTTGATTTCCGCCGCACCTCCCGTAAAGATGGCCGAACCTCTCAGGGAAAAACATAAGGACTCTCATAGCCACCATCGCCTAAGTTTTCCAAGCTTGCATCTTGGTGGTTCTAAATCTTTCAAGGAGTCATCGCAAAATCCCAATGCGTCATTAGACTGGAAAATTGAGTCGCCACCAGTTGTCATGCACGGCGAGCCGGAGAACAGCACAGGTGCTTTGATTTCCGGTCAATTATTACTCGACGTCAAGGAGGATGGGTTTGAAGTCGAAAATTTCAGTGCCAGGTTAAACATCCATATCACACAGAAAAGACCATTTGCAGGGCATTGCCAGCAATGCTCGAATCAAACGACAGAGCTCAAGTCTTGGACGTTCTTGAGCGAGCCAACGATTCTTTCTAAGCGTAAGTCCAACCTTACCTTTTCCGGACACCTTTCTTAATACATGACTTACACTATATGCAGGCATTCACGAATTTCCTTTCTCTGTTCTACTAGATGGACATTTACCTGCGACAACGGACAACGCGGTTGTCACCATTCGGTACGACTTCTTCGCGGAGGCTACGCCCCGAACCGGGCCTCCTATCAAGCTCACGAAGAATATCGACGTAAAGCGATCACTCCAAGTGCCGGAACTGCCCCACCACAGCATTCGCATATTCCCCCCAACCAACATTGCAGCTAGCGTGCACTTCACGCAAGTTGTACATCCCGTTAGCACTAACACATTCACCCTACGGCTTGACGGTATCGTGAAGCATAATCCCGATGTTAAGACTGTGGAGTATTGGAAGTTAAAACGGCTTTCATGGAAGCTCGAAGAGAATATAGAGACCGTAGCGCCAGCATGTGAGAAGCATGCGCCAAAAGATCCAGAAACCGGCTTGCCAACGAAGAAGGGCACAAAGCGCAGCGACGCACGGATAATAGCGCATGCGGATTTGCATAGCGGCTGGAAGTCGGACTACTCCCCATCTGGGAGCATCGAGATGGAAGTCCAGTACCAGATTGCACCTAGTACGAAGACCGTGTGTGACATGAAGAGCGAAGATGGTACCCAAATTACACACCAATTAGTTGTGGAGATGGTTGTTGTCCAAGAATACGCACCTACTGCCCACCCTAAACATATCACGCCTACTGGGGTGGCACGTATATTACGAATGCACTTCGGCGTCGTGATAACAGAGAGGGCGGGGTTAGGTGTCAGCTGGGACAACGAGGCACCTCCAATCTACCAAGATGTTCCGCCTTCGCCCCCTTCCTACTCGTGCGACATACCCTACGAGAGCATCGAGAGTGTCGAGGATTTGACACTAAGTCGACAAAGTCAGGAGGTTGGGAGCAGGGCCCAGAGTCCAGCATACGAGGAGCGAGCACCGTCAAGCGCGGGAGCCGATGAGGCCGCACGTTAGGATCCGTCCGACCGCCGGCATGGCATGTTTAGACGATGTTCGTTGTTGAATAGGTTGCGGAAAAAGTAGTGTGGGTTTCATTTGTCTTGCAAAAAATATTATACCCCATAAGCGATGCTTCAACGGATTGCCAGAGCTTTTTTTTTTTTTTTTTTTTTTTGCATTGGACGAGGATAGATAGAACGGTGGAATTCTACCACCCACAGCTCACAGCGCAAGGTAATTGGCATGGAGTTTGAGAGCCGCAGTTTAGACGGCTGTTAGACATATCCAACATGATGCCGCAAAAGGCAGCATAATAATCAATATAATGAAAGATAATTTTCGAAATTTACGTTAATTTAAGTAATCGTAATAATTAATTTATTAGTGAATTTTAATGCTTGGATTAATTAAAGTAAATGTTTTCGAATTAATAAATATTTGTATTTTATCGAGTGGTTTAAATTTTAGGTAATATACCATGTATTAATGATTAAAATAAACGAGGTTTAATAAACTTATTACGAAAAAAACTTATAATTAATAAATAATTTAATATGCCCGAGTTTACGAGGGGTTATTATGTCGAATTTTTTCCATGGCCCAAATAGGAAAGTAATTTAATGGGCAGTATCTGGCACGTGCACCACTTTTTAAGCGATTTGATTAGGTGCACGACCTGTATATGTGGGGCATGGCTTGGCATTTTCGTCGAAACCAGCTCCGAAAGCTAAAATGGCTTTAATTGGGTGCATCTCACAATATTATGTGGGCCTCAAAAAGATAAGATAACGCCACGTGACCACATCTGTAGCCGCACGTGACTTAACCACATGATCTAGCGATAGGCCACCAAAAACAAAAGGGATAAACTTTCGCTTATGCTTTCGCTTTCGTTTTCGCTTTCGATGGGGGCAAAGGCAGCGGCGCGAAGCGCCGCTGACTTTGCCTGTTGAGTCATGCGTTAATTAAAAAATAAATAAAGATGCGAGGTTAAGGAATCGAACCTAGGGCCTAGGTGTGGCCGGGATAACTTCGGGGTTATGGTATAGCCAGGCGATTACGTAAGGGTTGTTACGTAAACTCGGGCTATTGTGCAGCCCGGGGGGTTGCCTCCTGTTTGGTATGAAATTTTAAGCTGAAGTTATATTTAATATAAGTATAAGTATAATAAATTTTTAAAAATTAGATATTTTATTTTTACATAGTTCGTAAAAATGAGACTGCTCAGATGTCCAACTCACATCAATTCAAGATCAATCTGTTAGATTTTCAAGAACGTTGATTATTGGATAAGGTGACGGCGACAGATAATGATGAGTAGTACAACGACTTGCGAGAAAGGATTTCCAAGCTGGTTCATCATTGAAATTAAAATTACAAGTGATGCGTTTGGATCTGGCGTAATGCCATAGGTCGACTTTGTCTGCCCTCTTTGGACCTGAGAACTTACACCATAACCCGAATATTTCCAAGTTGGGGAGAAAGTTCCACCGGTCGACTGCGAAGTCAACCAATAATCTCTTCACGATCTCGGGGTTGAACCTATACTTATCGTTGTCTGCAAATAGATTCACTTCTTCTAAAGACGGCGGTAGGATCCTAACCAAGCGTGGAATAGCTTCGAATGCCTCGGGCGGAATTTTTCGCAGGATGTCCTCGCGGATTAACAACCCCCCTCTCTCCTCAGTCTCGAACGCGGGGGTGTGGAACACCCGGACATCAAGGTCAAGCCTTTTGAGACTTGTGAACTCCTTCATGGAGGCTACCCCGTTGATTACATGACCATCGAGGTACTCCAGCGTTACAATAAGCTCTTCCAAGTGATGGCCCACATTCTTCCCAATGGCAGCGATAAAGGCGGCTGCATCCCAGCGATCCAGCGAAGGTCGGCTATTATTCCTGGACACATAGCTAAACCTGAACGATTCTAGGCAGGGCGTGCGCGAAAATAGGAGAGATATACTGTCGCTATCCACATAAGTGTGCTCTAATACAAGTTTGCGCAAGCCCAAACTCATATCTAGAGAGTGACGGTGATATCCTAATGTGAGCGGTCCGCCACCATAATCCTCACAGTTAGTAAGGGATAACGACTTAGGATCTGGCGTAGTAAAGAATGACAATAAGGCGCGTAGGTCCATCTTCTCATTGTTGTTTTCGAGGTCCCGAATCCACACGTGGGCCAGCTGTCCTAGAGATGCCCCCTCGGGGTTCTCCTCGATCCTCCGACTGATCGTCTCCATCAAACTCCGGGCCTGCGAGTAGTACTCGTGATTCCAGGAAGATGTAGCCGGTGATTCCATAGCGTGCCGGTAACTTAGCGGCGGTGATAACATCAAGGATTTGAGGTTAGGAAAAAGCGTGAGTACAAATGTTCCCATAAATACCAAATATTTATCGCGACCTTCGGTATCGAGATCCTCAACTCTAGAAAGGAGAAATCTTGCCCACTCCTCCACGTCTACCCCGGCACGGCGCAAGTATGGCGATTCCGTGATAAATGCTCTCAAGCGCTCCATAGCCAGCGCATTTCCGGTAAGGCGTTTGCGCGGGTACACCACGTCCGGCCCCCTCCGCCGCTGGCAAAAATCGACATGCCAGACATATCTTGCCACAACCGGGTTATTCGCGACGGTGTAAATCCAAGTGACGATAGGCACGTAGTCCAAAATGCCTTCGAAATTGAGATATCGATTTTCTCGAATATAAGAAGCATGAGTATCGATTAAAGACTTGCCGCATTCGTAAACATAGCGACAGGTCAACATAAGCTTCTCAAACCCCTCGGGCATCGACTCCTGGATGACCTGGTGGAGAATCTCCGGGGGGAAATCCACGAGAAGCATAATGGATAGGACCTCGCGCAGGGAAGATTGCTATATTATAATTGTTATAATAATTATAGTTTGAGACCCCTCAAGGAGAGGGGTGTCGAAAGTGAATCTCACCGTAGCCTTATGATGCAGGAATTCATGTTTAGTTGCTGCGCCACAATTGGACATTAGGCGAATTCAGGCATCAAAACTTATCTCAGTAAACTCAGACCACAAATTCGATATTGTTCGTGGGGTTGTACCTCCCTTAGCCACACCACTTTTCAACCAATCAAAACCCGGAATAACCCCTTAAAATAATATCGAATTTATAGTTTAAAGCAGTTTTAAGATTTTATATACCAAAAATATACGTTTAACGTTTTAAAATAATAATATTAATAAAATTATTAAAATAATAATATTAACGCGTTTTTATAATAAATTTAATTAATTATATAATTATATTAATTTTATTATTAAGTTTATTAATTAAATTTACGCGTTTTAAATCTTTTAAAGTGTTAAAAATGGCTATAATAACGATTATAACGCGTTAATTTAATGCGTTAATTATAATACCGGTCGTAATAATAACCGTAATAAACGTTAATTATAATAAATATTAAAACTTAATATATAAAACCGTATAAATATACAAAAAAAATTAAAAAATTTAAACAATAATATTATTAACTTAAAATTATTAAAAAAAAAAGATTTTATACGTAATTATAAAATATTAAATTATTATATTTAAATATATATTATTTTAAAACGTTAAAAATTTTTAAACGTTAAAACTTAATATATAAAAACGCAATATCGTATAAATATATAAAAAAAATAAAAAAATAAATTAAATATATTATTAATTTTAAATTATTAAAATTAAAATTATTTCATACGTTATTATAATATATTAAATTATTATAAATATAATATTTAATTTTTTCATTATTAACAAAACTATTAAAGACCTTTACAGCGTTATACAGCCTTAAACCAGATATTTTCGAATGTTTTACCCGTGACCCATAGGTATAAACATATAAACCACGCGTTGCGTGGCGCCTGTGGCGCCGGGGCGAGCAAAGCAGGCGGGCGAAGCCCGCCTCGAAAATATCGGGTCTGAGGTCACCTGAGATAAATCAAAACAGGTATTTATTAATGTAACGTCCCATTATGGAGAATCTCTTTATAATCGCGTTTGTGTCCGTTAAGGTATAGCTTTATCTGCTATCTTCCATTTATAAATATCTTAAGATAAAGAATATGGAGGAATTGTTTCATTTGTTAGTATAGAACTACCTATTTTACAATTAAAAATTAAATTGGAAGGGATTTTTATGTCTTACATAGGTACCTAATGTACCTAAGGTAGGCACTTGGGTAGTTACGCACGCTTATTACTTACTATAAGATGCAATAGATACCTACGCTTAATGTGAGTCTCTAAAAGCCAAGCACCTTTAACCCATCTTAATCATCTACGAAGTACCCCCCGCGATATTATAAGTCAAGGTCAAGTCGAAATTTCTAATAATTTATGTAATCGAGCATCGTGTTCAATTGATCCAATATTAGCCGGAAAGGAGGTTTGTGCTTCAATTACTCTTTTCGTACAGTCCGATTGCGCCATCGATCCGACCAAAGTCGGCAGCGTCTAAGGCGGGGGAATTGCATCGACACGGTATCACAATTTCAGTGCTCAAACGGACCAAACACAATAACTAACATACATACAAACAAAACACTTTACTTAGACTTTTACTTAGACTAGGTCATTAAGATCGCTCCAATCATGAGAAACGTCCTGATTGAAAATCCCTCAGGCACCCCCGTGGCTGAGATGGCTACGAATAGTGGTCTAGCGGGACACAAGATCCTGCTAATCGTGCCCTGGGACCCTCCTGAGGGATACGTCGACGGCTTGCGCAAGACCTATCCCGGCCTCAAGGTATTCCATATTCGTTGGGATACATGGAGCAGGCCAGACCTCCCGCCCAATATTACTCCTGAGGATTGGAAAACAGTCACTATCCTTCTCATTGGCCCTCAGTTCCCTACTAGAGAGCAGGCGCCTACGCTACAGCTGGTGCAGCTTCAGAGCGCCGGGGCAAATTATATATTGAACAATCCTCTGTTCACCGACACCGATATTGCTTTTTGCACGGCGAATGGCGTTCATCCGTAAGTTTTATTCGTCGATGTTATATATGATGTTAAATGTGTCCGGGCCCGTTAAAACTAACCTCAGATCGCTCATAACACTAGACCGCAAATCGCAGAATGGGTCATAAGCACGTACCTCGCTTTCCAGCATAATAGTGAGTATTCCAAACATGATTCTACTGAAAATCCTAACTCTGCCACTCATAGTCCCACGTTTCCTCGAGCATCAGAAGGAGCACAGGTGGGAGCATAGTTATGATGACTCAGACACTCAAGATGCCGTCAACCAACGAGTGTAAGTCTTGTTATTCTAAGAATTGACTCTCAAGTATCGATACTGACAGTGCTACGTAGCGGTATATTGGGATACGGAAGTATCGGAAGACAGGTAGCACGGATAGCCAAAGCTATTGGTATGGAAGTGTATGCGTACACGAACAGACCCAGGCCTACGCCCGAGTCTCGTCGCGACCACTCATACATCGTCCCCGGCCTCGGCGACCCAGACGGTTCTCTTCCATCAAAATGGTTCTCAGGGACGAAACCAGAAGAAATCAACGAGTTCCTCTCCGCGGACCTCGATCTCTTAGTGCTAGCCGTGCCTCTAACCCCCCAAACACAGGGGCTTATCGCAGCGCCACAGCTCAAGCTGCTCCAGAAGAAACGCACTTTCGTCAGCAACATCGGCCGAGGCCCCGTCGTCAACACGGACGACCTATTCGTCGCGCTCAACGAAGAATGGATCCGCGGCGCCGCCCTCGACGTCACGGACCCGGAGCCCCTGCCAAAGGGCCACCCGCTCTGGGACGCGAAAAACGTCATCATCACGCCCCACGTCAGCGGCAACTCGACGAGCTACAACCGTCGCCTGCTGGATATCCTGGAGATTAATCTGCGCAACTTGAGCGAGGGCAGGGAGTTTATGAACCGGGTGAGCAAGAAGAGGGGTTATTAGACTCGGTGCTTGACTAGGATTTATGATGGAGGATATACTTCTGGCCTTTCTGTTGGTGAAGGAAAAAAGGAAATTAGGGGAAATTGAAAAGTCAAGGTCATTAGTTGTATCAATTACATATTTTACATATTTATCTTTGTCCTGTATCGTTCCTTTTAGATATGCCAGGATCTATATATTTGGATATACACCCTATGTATCTACCTAGGTATTCACTACTTATAAACAACACTTTTTCGTATTAAGATATGCTCAAGCCTATTAGCCATAATGATCGATTGTCAACACCAAAACCCCCCTACTGCTATTCACGAGGTCCAATCATGATTGCGTAACTTTTTATTAAATTGATTCGCCAGTAAGAAGAACCATCCCATATGTCATTGACGGTCCGTAAATAGTATACATTGCAATTTACACCCCGAAATCAGGACTACTAGTCTCAAGCAGGCCCAAGAAGCTCATCAGCAATTGCCCTTCCCGCTGCCCTGCCTGAGAAAATACAGCCGCCGAGGAATGTGCCCTCGAGTGAGTTGTACCCGTGAACTCCACCACCGCCAAACCCAGCTGCCTCGCCCGCGGCATATAGACCGGGGAACTTTTCGCCATTTGCCTTCATAACATTGCTTTCTAGATTCGTCTCGAGCCCGCCGAGTGACTTGCGCGTTAGAAGGTTCATATGAACGGCGATTAGGGGACCATGCTTCGGATCTAGGATCTGGTGGGGTGCCGCTACACGGCGGGTATCAGGCCAGTAATTGCGGCCATTACGGATGGCCATCACCTGAGCATCCTTGCAGTAACTGTTTACAAACTGGTCGTCGCGCGTCTCGACAACTTCCCTGATAGCCTTGGGGTCAAGTATAGGCCCACCGACAGATTTAGCTATCTCGTTCATGCCGGTGACTAGGTCCTCGAGGTTGTCGCGCACGACAAAGTCTTTCCCAAACTTCTGAAAGTTCTGGACGGGCACCGTGCCCTTAGAGCTAAAGACTCGGTTTTTAAGAAGTTGCCAGATGCTCTTCTCTGTCAGGTCGGGGTTCTGTTCTGAGCCTGATAGCGCAAATTCGCGCGCGATGATGGATTGGTCGAGAATAAACCAGGTGTAGTCGTAGCCGGTGCTGCATATGTACTTGAGCGTTGCTAATGTGTCACATCCGGGGTATAGGAATGGCGGAAGCCTTTTTCCGGTTGCGTCCAGCCAGAGCGACGATGGTGCTGGCAGGACGCGGATTCCGTGATCTGGCCAGATGGGATTCCAGTTCTGTAGCCCCTCGGTGTAATGCTGTATTAATCAGTTAGTGCCTATCATATAAACCCAGGGATCTCGAGTGTGCTCCTGAAGCGATATATCCAATCAGGTTAATGAGGGTTTTGTCACTTCCTAGTAATAACAAAGGGGAGAAATGAATTACATATTACTTACCCACATCCTGTCGCGATTGATGAAGTTAGCGCCAGCCGACTCCGCGATTCCTAACATCCGGCCATCGACGTGCGCAGGAACGCCAATCACGAAGTTCTGCGGTATCTTCGGACCAAGACGATCCACGGGCCACGCTTTCTTTACCGCCTCCACGTTACCTCCAATACCTCCTGAGGAAACAATTACCGCCGCGCCATGGAGCTCAAAGTCACCCACCTCTTCTCTTGACGTTTTGACTCCTCGAGGCGACGGATCTTGCGCAAGAATACGTCCTCGGACTCCGGATGCTCTACCGTTTTCATCGATGAGTAGTTCGTCTACCCTGTGCCTGAACTTAAACTCCACGATACCTTTTTTCGCCGCCTCTTGGACGGGTTCGGCAAACACGCGCACAACTTCGGGTCCGGCGCCCCAGGTAATGTGGAACCGCGGGACCGAGTTTCCATGGCCATCTGCCGTACCATCGCCGCGCTCGGCCCAACTCACCGTAGAGAGGAAGCCAGCCCCACGGTCCTTGAGGTACTTCTCCATTCCATCCGTAGCAAAGTCGACAAACGCCTCGGCCCAGCGGCGCGGCCAGATATCCTCATCATCAGGGCGATCGAAGCGTGCCGACCCGAGCCAATCGCGCATGGCGAGCTTCCGGCTATCTTTGATGCCAAGCCGTCTTTGTTCCGTCGAGTCGACGCAGAAGATTCCGCCCAACGACCAGAATGCCTGGCCGCCGAGGTTCTGCTCTCCTTCTTGGTCCACAATTAACGTCCGCACGCCGCGCTGTGATAATTCGAAAGCAGCTACCAACCCCGCTAAACCACCGCCCACGATGATAACCGGAGCTTCCTGCTTGCCGGCGTCATCTATGCTCGCCATTATGTCTATCGCCTTTCCACTTTTTGGTTATGTTTAAAGAAGTAAGGACCAAGATAGCTATGGATTCATTTTTTGGGCAAGGCGAATTAAGTAGAACGAACGTTTGTAAATTACGTCTAGCCTTTTTGCATACGTGTGCTAATGTTAAAGAGTGGCTGAATCAATGGAATATGAATAAGGGAATGTGAACCCTGTTAGTTAAGCCGTAAATCGCACAGCGGGGTTCGTCCTGCTGCTGCGGTACCTACCATCGCGTGGTTCCCCTCCCACCTGCTGCCGAGGCTTCACTGCAATTGCTTCTCCCATCGCATGACTATCGTTATTTCCCATGGTATTCCCTTATATGTACAACTTACACATCGTACGCTATAGTCGTCTGATGGTAGTATGTAAATCCGCTTTAGGTAAAGCGTTCCGTAAACATAGTGAATGTTAGTTACTTTTCTATTCAATTCATTTTCAATTCATTATTCTAGCGCTTCAAGTACTGGGTGATACACGTCAATAGCTATAAGGGAAGAATCGCACAGGCATATTTCATATATAATAATATTTAATATCAATTTTGCTGAAAGATATGGTATATGAGCTGTATCTTGTATATTCTACCTACTTATTAGTCTATTAACTCCTACTTATAAGGTATGCATTCCACGTTAAGACACCATCTACTATACTTAAAAGTCACTGAAAACGTCAGCATCTCGCAGAAAGTTAGTACCGCTGATAAGCAGGCGCCTAGGAATCACTGTAATACAATCTGTTCAAGGAGGCCAATTGTCAAAAAACTTCAATCCAAAAATACCAACCAATATTATAGCACATAACTAGGGCGTGCCGCTGTGGAAGCTCCATACAACCCGGCCCGGATCACCGGATCCGTTCCGAACGACAGCGGATCCGGCAATTTAATTTTCTCGGGCAGGACTGAGACTGACATTATAACTTTCCGCAAACTAAGGCTTAAGCATACTGCGTGATATGTGGTCCTGCTCAATTGGCTCCTTTAATGAATGCAGATGTTGTCGAGAATGAATCCACTTGCAGTGTATCCGATTGTTATACCTCCACAACCGACTTCGCCATACATAAAGGTTCGAATGATATTCGTCAGATAGTTCCTACGATGATGAAAATATGCAACTAGAACAGCGTGCTACCGGCTCCGAAGCAACTCGAGTTATTCCTAAGATTGCAATACTATATCCAGTGAGCAAAAACTTTGACGGATCCTCTCGAACTTCTATTCCGTCTCATTTTACAAAATGCTAGGAACGTCCCTGTTTACGCATTAATGATAATTGGCGGTTTCTACGAAAGAGTGAATAAATCTGAGAAAGCCTTACAAGTTTATCGCAGTGCAATAACGAAATTTGGAAACCGTGAAGTTCCAATGAAGTACACGATATGGAGTGAAATTGGTTCCATTAATCACGATCTCGGTCGATATCAGGAGGCAGAGGAGACGTATCAACGGATAGTAGAAGGGCTCGGAAGGATACTTGGCCAAAGCCACCCCAAAACGATAATCAACAAATATTTTTTAGGACGCACTTTTCAAGACCAAGGAAAGTATGCAGAAGCGGAAGAAATTTTTCAAAAGGTAATAAAAGAAGAGCAAATGATATATGGCCTAGAGCATGCGCATACTCTAATATCTTTATATCATTCAGCATTAGTTTTCTACGAAACTGGGAGGTATTTAGAAGCAGAAGAAATATATCGACGGGTATTAAAGGGAAAAGAAAAGGTATTTGGTTCAGAACACACGTATACTCTTCAGACTGTACATGAATTGGGAAACGCCTTCGAGTATCAAGACAAGCATGTACAAGCAAAGGAAACGTATCAACGGGCAACAAAAGGACGGGAACAAACACTTGGACCAAGCCATGAAGACACTTTGGAAAGCATGAAATGTTTAGAAGATGTTCTTGGATGTTTGGAAGACTACGAACGAGAAGGAGAGCAGATACGAGCACTATTCGATTAGGATGACCTAATCTAAAAAATTGCTCTCTAGGTCTAGGTATTGGTCGGTGGAATGCATCATATTCGGCCGTAATTGTAATATACATCAACAATACAAAAAGGTCTTCCGTCATATATGAGACGCTACATCACTAATATCCATCATATATAGGAATATATGTAAAGAAAGATTCAAAAAGCATGGTCATTAACAAGGGGATCCAGATTCCAAGATACTGTGGACCTCCTGAGCGTAAGTGCAGCCATTGTTCACATTGGAGTCCGAGAAGCCAGCACTCCACATCATCACGCCACCAAACCTGGAGTTACTCTTATAGTCGTTAACAATGTCTGCGAGCTGTTCAGGTGTTGCGTAGTATGTCTCTCCAGTTGGTGCGCCGTTAGCAGCTAGCGGAGCGGCCGGGACGCCGATGAAGATCTTGGCATCGGCCGAAGGGGTGTCGGCTGTCCACTCTACCCATTGGTCGTAGTTAAATGGTGCATTGCCGTTGACGGGAAGAGCACATGGATAAGTGTAGTTGTTGTTGTTGTAGAACTGTGGCCATAGGTAATCGAACGTAGAGTTGCCGATGATCACACCCATGTTCGGCTCAGGGATGGGGCATTGAGGTGCACCGGTGATGTAGTATGTGTGAGAGGAGTCAGACTCGAAGTTAGAGCGAAGTTGAGATATCATATGCTGGTAGTATTCGCTTCCTCTGTTGACTTCTAAGTCAAAGTCGAAACCGTCAATGACAACGTCGCCAAAAGGTCGTTGTACGCTTGAGTTTCCAGAGTTTCCGTATGCCTGCCAAAGGTAATCCCCAATAGACTCTGCCTGGTCTTGCGAAGACAGAGAGTAAGAGGCAGTAGCACCTCCCAATGATAGGATAACCTTTATCCCGACCCCTTGGCATGTTTTGATGGCTGCGGACAAGGCATCGCAGTTTTGTCCTTCACCCGAGTTACTAATGAAGCACGACTGGCCGACCGTGCCAGAAGGGATGTCACTCCCGCTGCCCCATGAATACAAGAAAGCTAGGACAATTATGTTAATGCCGGCGTCGGCGGTACAATAAGTCGAGAGGTCGTTGTTCTCGATCGTACCACCGCCATTCTGGCCCCAATAGACAACGCTCTGGGAGCCTGAGGCCTGTCGGGACTTAAGAGAATGAGGAAGAGCCGTTGCTGCGCCGAGCATAAGGCTAAGATAGTTATATACAGTGGCGGAACGCATATTGATAAGTCAAAGATAAAAGATATGTACAGAAAACAAGTATATACAAGAAATGGATAACCTGTTCAAGGTAGTGGGCAGCGTGTTCCAAAGGAGTGTTTAGAATGAAGGATAAAGGAGAGACTTGGTGGTATCATCATGGCATATTGAAGCCTTCTCGAGAGCAGAGTAGATATATATGCCATTGTGTCAGTAGGTTGACATTGAGCCAGCGTCTTCGCTATGTCAGGAGACGTTACATGTATCACGCGAAAAGACAGTCACAATACCTATAGCCTTGAATGGTAGTAGACCAAATCCCCTTGCAGTTTACTAGTAACATGCTGCTCTCACCGTCGCTCATTAACATACTTGGAAAGTGCTCGGGAATACTGCCCTTATAATCAAAACCTAGAGACAAGATAATTGGCCAACAAATAATCCCAAGGGAGATTCGGTAAGTGTCACGTACTATAAAAAACTACATGGGGTAGCAGTCTTCTGTTAACGATGGGATAGGGGATACATGAAGCCTACCTATGACCAAAATTCTAGACAAGGCATAAGTTGCAGTAGCAGTTAATTCCGGACTTAGTAAAGAGCCGCGCAAGTCATAGTGCACATGTAAAAGAGGAAGTCGGCGTGATAACGGGCAAGGAGGCTTGCCTCTCCTACATCTGACCTCAGGGGTCCGGAGATGTGGAGTCGTGCATCGGCCGATGATCCCGGTCTTGGCAAGTTTGCCCGATCAAGGAGGACGTAACACAACGGGGTCTCATATCTCTATCACTACGTTACAGCAAAACAGTTCTAACGAGCAAAATACTTGGTGTTGGAATAGTCAAGCGAGCAGCAGATGAATGGTTTTGCATAGGGGGGAGATTAGAATGTTAAATCAAGCTCACGACAAATGACCTGCAACGTTAACAGTTGACCCGCTTTATCAGGAACGCCAGGGTAGCAATGGGTATAGAAGCAGCTATATCTATGTTGATCATGTAATGAGCTACCTTTTTGGGTAATTCGCGGTAGCGTGATAAGAGAGAGGCATGATTGTCCGAGCTATACCGACGGCTATTCTAACTCATAGGCATCTCAGCACCAATCAGGAAGGCTTTAAAGCGATTCCCTTCGCTGACGTACAGGTTCAATGCATGTACTGCAAGGCACGTGGAGGAGTGCTCTTAAGGGTGCCCCTGACATATTAAAAGGCTACGTACTCAGATTTCAGGATATCCAACCTCGGTGCTTCTACCTATATCACGTAGGTATCATTGGTAGGTAAACTTGTCATAGCTCGGAAGACTACATTATATGGAATTAGGAACCCCTGGAGAGTAAGAGCTGACATACCCCACCTCCATCTCCTCTTTCATCCTATTGAAGAGGACTTTAGGACATTACAGAAATCTTTCAAGAGACATCATAACTACCTAGGTAGATACAGATAAGTATAGAAGGCGTCTAAAGGCCTAGTAGAAGTCGACCTCTGAATTTAGGACAATTTTAATCAAAGAATTAATAAGGCATGGCATTGTGAAACATTAAGGGGGAAGTGTACCGCTTATATGTATGAGTCTGAAAGGCTTCGCTTGATTCAATCGATAACTAAATAGAGAATCGAAGACACCTTCTCACCCTAAGTCTTTAAAGGTTATACATGATGTACAGAAGTCGTTTATACTAATGACATATATGCTCAACATATATCGAAAACAGATGTTTCATTAATCAAACCCGGCCGCGGATTGCTTATACATAAAAAACCGCATCATTAACGACTGCTCGTCGCAATGACACAACAACACAACCGCAATGCTCAATATTCTCACGATTTCATACACAAAACCCCCGAATAAAAATCAACGCCAGAATAGACAATCCACCCCTTTCCCAAGCGTCCTAGTCCTTAGTCCTTAGTACTCTCCAGCACCGCCTTCACCATCGCATTCCCGACCTCAATAGCGCCAGGGAACCTCGGCTCGAAGAACTTCTGCGTAACGACAAACCGCTCCTTCCACGTCTCGAAGTGACCAAGACTAACACACTCCGCCCAGCCGCGCGCCGCGAACGTGAACTCGAGGTCGTCGCTGCGGAACGTGTTGTCCTCGACCGCGATCCGCAGCGCCTCGTCTAGTCGCCCCGCGTCCCGGAACAGGTGCTCCGTGACTCCGAGCCACAGCCGGAATAGCGGCGTGCTGCAGATCATGTGGTCGTACGGCACGATGCCCAGCGCGCTCCAGCAGTCCACCATCGCCAGCAGGCTGAGGTGGTTATTAGGAAGCGGCTGTTGGCGCTCTGCTCGCGCACCTCCTAGGATGAACTGGTCCAGGACCTCGTCCTTTAGCAGTGGCTTATCAGCCCACTTTGGCTTGTGCTCTTCGCCGAACACCTTCTCCTTAGCGGCTAGGACGCGCGCCCTCAGCTCGTCGAGGTGTCCGCCCAGCATGAGTTTGTACAGTTCTGTCACGCTCTTCGCGTACTGGTCGATCTGCTTACGGGCTTCTGGGTTTAGAATCGCGAGACCGGCGTACACGTGCCATTTCTGGCTATAGATGCGTAGGGTTAAGTTGATCTTGACGTTCTCGATGCCGCCGACGTAGCGCGCGCCCTCCCAAGGGAACTGCCGCGTTGAATGCCACGCCTTGCCCATGCTCAAGAACGCTGCGTGCGTTACAGCTTGTGTGTCCGCTGTGATGCGGTCATGCTCGTGTGCTGATAGGTATACGTGCGTTGAATGCAAGCATTGGAGGACGGTCTCGACTTTCTTAAAGGAGTCATCGGAAGCCCGGTGTCTGATAATAACCTGATTTATGGTAAGTGGTGTTAAGTAGATAGATGTAGCAGGGGTAGTACTAATGGCTGGCCTGTCGTGTCGACTTTAGGGCCGTGGAGAGAATGGCAAGAAACTATGTCCACGTCCGCCGGGAGGTGGTCTTCGAATGCCTTAATCTCAGGGTCTTTACACGATGTTTGCCCACCTACGATGGCACCAAGCTTTGTTGCTGTGTATACTTCGTAAGTTATGTTTCGAATAGTTCAGATACATGAAGACACCATACATGGGCCATACTCGGCAACGACACGGTCAATCGCCGCGGCCTCTACGCTGTAAATAATATAGTCACACGCGCGAGATACAAGATGGCCATTTCGGAGAATTTGTATATTGCTCTGGAAACCTCTCAGCATGGATTCCTTCTGAGAATGGATGACTATATATATGTACCCGACTTGTAAACTCTTCACGTAAACTCTCATATTGATCCTCCTTATCGCAAGCCATTACTCTATCAACATCGATAGTTAGTTAGTACTTCTGGGATTACATTCCGCACTGGCACTCAGTAAAACCTATACGTCGCATATTAGCTTATGACATAGTAAAATGCGTCAAATAAAATGCGATATTGTAAAAGCGCTTCAGACAAAAAAATATAAGGTAGCTGAGATTTTTCATCATGGAAAGCCAACGACTGCCAGGAATCAGAATGACCGCCTGGAAGCCGAGGGCAATGCTCGAGCCAAATGCACTCAAGTCATCATTTGCGAGGAAACTTGTATAGATATAAAAAAGCGACTTACCAAAATAAATTCACGAAGGCTTAAGCGCGACAGCAAATTGCAGTCGTACTAGCGGTTTCTTACCTCCAACCAGCATCGCTAAGCCTCCGCGCGTACATCTTTCCCATGTCGCCCATGCCAATGATGCCGACGATGAACTTCTCCATGCCGGGTGGCACGCCAGAGCTGTTATCGGTCGCCATGATATCGTCCCAATCTCTCCTACCAGAATTGACCTGAATGAAGGATTTAAGAGCAGAGTGATTACATGCTGGACACCTAGCACAAACAACTCGAACTCTCGATCTGGTAGGTCAGAGCGGGCAATGAAACGTTGGGTTTAGAAACTGGCGATGGAAAATATGAAGGAGGGTAAAAAAAAAAAGTTTTTAGCGACGCTTTAATAGAAGCAGAAAATTTAGGTGGAGCTTGAGCTTGGACCCGTGCACCCAATTATATGGGCCCGGACTATTCTCGGAACCATATATTAGGTAGTCCGAGCCTCCGAGGTGAGTGTGGCTTGTGCGGTACTTAGGTACTTGGAAAGTATATCAATCACCTGGCAATTTGCTCTCTTCAGCCACGCCGCATTCATCAAATCAGATAAGCTTGGAAGAGTCAAAGCTGTCCCAAGCTACAGAGAATGACTTGATATTTCAAGAAGCGGGCATATAGGAGAGAGGCTTTATGCCACATATAAGCTATCATGGAAGGTCTCTTCGCGCTCGGCTCCAACGGATCCGGTCAGCTCGGCATAGGTCACCAAGAGGACGTATCAGTCCCGAAGCAAGTCGAGTTCGCGGGCTCAGCCCCTGAGGACCCCGTTGTAACGATTGCAGCAGGGGGAAACCACACGATTATAGTTACGGAACTAGGGAAGGCTTTCTGGGCTGGCGATCCTTCGAGCGGCGCCTGCGGGATCGTGGAAAATGCCACGAATGCGAAAGCATCCAAGTTTCATGAACTGGTCCTCTCAACTCCTGAAAGTCACGGCACCGTCGTTCACGTTGCCTGTACATGGGACTCGTCTGTCTTGGTGCTTAGAGGTGACAGTGGCAAAGCTACAAGCGTGTACGTATGCGGGGTCCCTGACGTAGGGGCTGCCAACATAAGTTCGGGATCCGCTCTAAGTCCAACCCTGCTCAAGGACTTCCCTCCCGCCGGGACAGAGATTCAAAACCTGGCTGCCGGCTTCAGACATGTGGTTGCTGTATTGGACAACGGAGATGTCTACGGTTGGGGCAACGGGCGAAAAGGCCAGTTGGGGGAGTTATGTAACGAAGCTGATTCAAAAGGCGTAGTATACCATCCGCGGAAACTTAGCGGGATTTCTTTCAAGGTGGCTAAGGCCGTCTGTTGTCAATACACGACTTGTCTTATCAGTGAGCCCGGGGATGGCCGAATACTTGTCCTGGGAGCAGATAAATGGGAATTGAAAAGCGTCGCCCCCGTTGAGATACCCAATTGGAGTACGATTCGTGCAAGCTGGGGAGGTATTTACGTTTTACGGCGAAATGGCACTATAACTGCGTGGGGTCGAAATGATCACGGACAACTGCCACCTCCGGGACTTCCAAAATTAGAGAGCATCGTTGCTGGCAGCGAGCATATTCTAGCTGTGACTGAGGGCGGTGACGTATTATCATGGGGTTGGGGAGAGCATGGAAATTGTGGACCGCAAACCGAGAAATTCGGGGATGTTAAGGGACGATGGAACGTGCTTGCGTCGTTGAAGCATTTACCGGAGGGATCTCAAATTACGACGATCGGAGCCGGGTGTGCTACAAGTTGGATCAATATCACAACAGATGGAATGTTTCTCTAGGCTACTAACTTCCGTGGTTAGACTTCTGGTACAACTCCGTACCTATATAGCCAGAGCTCAAACATCACGTATCTAGCCACGACGAATATGAATAGGGGTGCTCTCATATAGCTCCTTAATCGTCAAAGAGGCCGAACCTCCGAACTTGCGAGAGGCGTTGAGTTGGTTCAAAGTGCGAGGGGGTATCTTCAGTGGCATCATTTAACCTCGATTCCTGAGTATTCCGGTTTGTCATCATGGACCTCGCATTCGTCGCTGGTGCATGCTATGGTCATATTAGCCACGTTAACGTAAACGCCTTGGGCAAAAGGAATACTTACGAAGTCACCCCTAACATCCCATTCTAATCGGGCATTCTCTTCCTCATCTTCGTCTCCACCCACATTCATAGGATCCCATTGATGCTCGTCGTCCTGGGGGACGAAGAGTGACTCAGACTCAAATGTCGCCGGAGGTGGCCGCTGGGATGGACGAACAATCGATGGTCTGAGAGAAGGTACGGGTTCGGGCCGTGGTGCTTGTGGCTGAGGAGGCATCCTTGGAACTGGCGTCGGCGCATGCGATGCAGCCCTACTAGTAGCAGCTTCAAGTTGCGGCGGTTTTGGTCCTTTGGCGCCACCGCGAGTTTTCTTGGTCTTCTGGCCGGGTGCTCCCCTTTCGCCAACCGTCATCAGAAGGAATTCACATTTGATCCCATCGCCCTCATATTTCAGCTGCAGCGGTTTGGTCGGCACTGAGTAGTATGCCGAGATCTGACTGCCGAGGAAATTTGCGTGCTGGATAATCGCCCTGAAATCTTTTACGCTGATTACGATATGCAGCTTATCCTCCTGAACATCGAAGTCTTCAAACTCATCCCGTTCGACGGCAATGGATGTGTGAAGAGGCTTCTTCAAAACTTCTTCCCCATTCTTGATCTTTTCGGTGAAGCAAGTAAAGTTGACAGTCTCATCGTCCTCGGAATGGAAATCGAGGTATTCTATGCCGGGACCAAAATAGTCCATAATGTGACGTAGGGTCCGAGACGGAATAGACCAACGATTTGACACTTGGTTCCTATCAAACTTGCCGTGGATTGGCATAGTAGGGTCAAAAGGTAGTCGGTATTTGGTGGTTATGCCTACGCTTTTATTAGCTAACTACTTGGACACGGGCAACGTTATTACTCACCATTACGGAACACGATCTTAGCAATGAATCTGCTTTTCTTGCCAGGTTCGTCTACTATTGCCACATCGCAATGTTCAACGGTGGTATCTTTTTCCCTGTCATGCAAAGGGTCGCCACTTCTAGCTCTGAAAATCGACAGCAAGGCCTAGGAAGATTCGTGTGAGGGAAAAGAAGTTAACAACTCTTGAGTAGGTAACATACTCGATTATGAAGCTTGCAAAAGAACTTCTCTCGATTTTGGGGTACACCTTCAAAATGATATTTTGAGAAGAATCGATGAGCTACGAAGGAGAAGCATAAATACGCCGTCTTAGAAGGATTTAGGGTGGTAAAGACAAGCTATGCGCCCGATTTTAGCAAAGTACTAGTTAGACTAGGATAAATAACAATGAAGCTTACTTTGTCCTTTCCTGCTTCAAGAGAAACTTCTTCACTGAATTTACTGAGACAAGTCAACGCATCTCTTAGACTACTGACCCCTTCCTCACTTAAAGTGAAATTTAATACAGCCATGGTCGTCCGAAGGATAGTCACTATGCTGTTGTGTATAAATTGGGTACTTTCGAAAGGGGATTGTTGATCAAAAAAATCGTTGATGTAAGTTATGATGACGTATGCCTCATTTTTGGGTCTCGGGCTTTTTGGATATGCCTTGATAAAAACGAGGCATTGGTGGTTATTGATGTTCTTGACGAAGCACTAGAACTAATAAGTCAGCAGCTTCCACTTTCTAGGCTCTCCCCGGTCTCGGTTTCGCTCCCAATTTAAGGAAGTTGGACTTGGTCGCGTTAAGCTTATCGAGACGCGTCGCGGGGTACCTACCTGTTTTAAGTACATAAGTTAAGCTGTTTCGATCTGCACAGTGTCGCTAGCAATTACCCCAAGCTTGTATCTCATATCTCTACAAACTTCTTACACTAATTCATAGTGTAGCAATAAGTACTAGACAGTGAAAATTGCTAGAGTTACACATTGTGGGTAGCAGTCCCAAAGCTTGTACATAAAATACAACCTACAGCTGCTTTACGTTCCATGCATTACATACTAACAAAACTACATTTTGTCCATCTCCTCTATTTTTTAGGCCATATCATATTTCCAATGCAATAGGCACCTAATCATACCAATTCAAATTATTCAAGCATGGAGTCCTCGGCTCTCCCTCAAGAGATTTTCCTATTATTATGCGAAGAGCTTGCTGCGCGTCGCGACTTTGGAACCCTCTTCAACTGCTCGCTTGTTAGCCGACGAATTGCCAGCATTGCATTAGAGCAGATATATAGGTGAGTCTTGCACTTTTTGGAAGTTTTAATTAGGAACTAACAGTTTCTTCGTGCGAAGTATTCAAGAATATTCCCCCGTAAACACCGGTGATGCCATCTACAAGCTAGAATGGTTACAATTGTGGAAGTCTATTATCCTCTCGAGTATTAAGAAAACCGCATTCCCATATTGCGTTTACGTCCGCGCTCTATCGCTTGGTAACCTCGAAGAATGCCTCCAAGACATCAGCCGAGACAACTATGCCCGGGATATATTCTTCGATGGCGCAATGAAGCAGTTTCTTGTGCTAAAAACATCTGAGAATACTCACGAAGTCCAATTGCCACCCATGGATACCCTAGCTACGATAGTCAAATGCGCGGATTCCATTACCCAATACATCAAGAGACTGGCAGACGATACGGGAACCGCTGTGTCTTTGGCGCATCTGGAGGGCACATATATTCCACATCATATATTACCGACCTGGATAGCACGGCTTGGAACCCTAACATCCTTGCGTATACGAGACGGATCAGTACTTAGCATTGAAGCAGCTAGTGCTATTTCCGAATGTTGTCCACTGTTTGTCGATTTAACATGTTATTATTGGTATGTTGAATTTTATCGGTCAATTTCATTTCTAGTGTCCGTAGATGCTAACCTGTCTATAGTATGTCTTCAACCCCTGTCCTTATTATTTTCTTTGATCGAGTACCATGCTAGAAGTCATGTCTGCTAGTTAACGTTTATGATGCTAACAAATAATAGACCAAAGCTCTACTGCAGACGAAGATTTGGCCGCATTTTTCCAAACGCTACGTCCTAACAGTCTGCGTAGTTTTGAAGTAATAAGCCAGAATTCAATTGGGAAAAACGCCTTGACGGCACTCAATTACCATGCAGCATCTCTCCGAAGGCTCGTACTTCGAAATCTTACACCGCAGGCTATGAAGGCCCTTAACTCGTTCCCCGATTGTACATTCCTAGAGACACTTTTGATCGAGAACGACCGGTACAACTTGGTGGACCCGGCGGATTACCCCGAGGAAACACTCAAAGAGGTCTCCTCATGGATCTGCAAATGCAAATCTCTTCAAGATCTCAGTTTCTCGCATTTTGTTGGTTCCGATCCGGTGGTCAATGATATTTTAAATTCGCCCAACATCCGCCTCACGTCTTTGTCCTTAATATCTATTCACTCGGACGCCGAGGCAGAGTATGCCTCTACCTGGACTGCGCTTGGCCTTCAAGATCATCTTGAGTCTCTGACTCTTGGTCTACATGAGCTCGGCTACGGTCACATAGCCGAAGCAAAGCCACCGCTAGTAGACTCAATTTGCCGGCTTAAAAATATGGCGTCACTAAATTTAATGCAAGTATATCTCGCTCAGGACACAGTAGAACGCATCGCGGCGTCGTTACCAAATCTATCCGAATTTAGCTTCGGCGGCAGCCTCTTACATAACTCCGTATTAATTCCTCTAAGCGCCATTCCAAAGCTCAAATTACTCTGTATCAGTTCCCTATCTTCTTTCAGCTTCCAAGGTCTATATAAGTTTGTCTCTAGGCTTATATCTCGAGGCCGAACTGGAATCAAGATAGATATCTTAAATCAATTAGGCGAGTGTAAACTTACTACGTCTGAATCTGATCTGCTACAAATGCATTTCATGAAACATCTCGAGGGTAGGCTTGAGATTGCCTATTTTATGGATCCAGACGAGCTCCACGAGACAGACTTTTCCGATGTTTCCGACTAGTTATATCCACAATGCGATGTGTGGAGGTGGTCTATAAGCCTCATGTCACAATCATATCTTTGAAGCGGAGGTTCTTGAGCAGTTGTAATGTATAATTCCATTCAAGAGAAGGGTTTTCGTTCATAAGCATTGAGAAATTTCGATCTCTACACATTATACACGAAATATATCGTTCGACTAATTACTCAATAATGAGAAAAGCAGGGCCTACTAGTCCATCTGGACGCTATACTCGTCCTTGACGCTGTTTCAAATCCTTAGTTAAAGACATCTCCATCCTTCCACCAGTCTCCAATGATCCGCACTTCATCTTTTTCATCTCTCCAACCTACCCCTATTCGAGGTACTCCGTACTGCGCTCCCAGCATCCCTAATGTTCCCGTTGTCCCTATCATGTTCGTTCCTGTCTCCATGCTTGGCAAGATAGGATCCATGTCTGTCACTGCTCTACTTGTGGTCATATGAGCGATTCCCGATCCCATAGACACCGTGCCAGACTTATCCATGGCCCCAACAGCCGGATAGGCACCAAAAGCATGAGAACCTAGGACATAGTTCGCGCCATCATACTGGTTCATAGGACAGTCGTCGTTGACGTGGTAGCTAGGAGACTTGTACTCGGGATACGTGCTCTGGAACTTATTTCCTTGCCAGCCGACCTGCGTTGCCACGACCACGCTGTCGGTTGCGGGGGAAACTTGGCCACCGAAGAAGGTGATCCTGTCGCCCGTACGCTGCGTCGGGGCAAATGTGTTCTGGCACTCCCAGCCGCACCACTTGTCGGAAGGCACGGGGACCGTGTTGTGGTCGCCAGGCAGGCATGCGTTCGGCCAGTCGAAAGGGAGGGTCTGTTGGCCCTCGGGCGTCCAGGCCTCGGGCTGGTGGATGCGGGATAGTTGCGTAAGCACGAAGGTGCAGTTGGGCCCGGCTAGGAGCTCGGTGTGTGCGCAGCGGTAGGTGACGCACATGTACTGGCACATTGTTGCTGTTGGTGGTTTCTTTGGTTTGTGTGGACGGTGCGTATTAATAGTTGTGGTAGATTAGGAGGGGTTTCGAGAAGAGCTGAGAAGCTTGCTTGGTATGTTATATCGACGACGGAAAAGGGATTCTTCTGCGTGGTCAGGGTTAGGAACTGTTGGATTTTATTATAAGGGTCTGGCGGGTTCTGGTCAAGAACGGGTGCCACGGGGTTGCTGCCTTGCTGGGGTTGAGGTGTTCGTAACGGTGCTGTAACGTACTTGTATGTATGATGTGTGGTTCTAGTTAGGACGAATATGTTGAGTAAGTAGTTGGAATCAAGGAGCATGTCTTGATGACACATGGGCAAGTATGATGGTATTTACTACTGAAGGTATGAGCTTTCGTACCACGACTAATGAACTAGAATATACATGAACAGACACGGCGGTGGGGGAACCGTGTTTTTTCGTTCATCTAGTCGGGCTGTTGCGTGGAATTTGTACTGGTTGGTTGCTCGGAGGGTTGAAAGACGCGTATTTCAGGATGAAGCCCTTGAATCCATCTGCAAGAGACAATCGGGGTATCCGTGCTTGCTATTAGCAGATTTGTAGGTACTTGTATTGAACCAAACAGAGGGACATTATGAAGACTGCATTGACAACAGCAGAGGCAACTTCCGATTCAAACAGGCAAACGCCTCGTGTTCTCCCATCTACTCAACGATACCCGACATCTCTCCTCAAGACCTCAGACTGCTTCACAGCTTTTTTATAGCTAATATCCCACTAGAGAGGTAACTTAACTTGAAGCAGAGCTTAACGATCCACAACTACAATCGCCTAGCTGTTTCCCTAGTGTGATCGTAGAGCCCATCTACATGTCTACGCTTGAAGATGAGGCCAAGACCAGAAAGGAGGGGGGGTAGGGGGCCCGTATCTGTTTCTACCCAAGTACCACCATAATGCTAGGTTTAAATCAAGAGATTAAACGACCCGGGCAGGCATTTTTATCATTTAACACATAACACCATCCGTATCCCTCTGTTCTTATAACCCATCGTAGCATTCACGGGTACAACACACCTACAGTTTTTCCCGTGGTAATACAGGTATAGTAGTAGCTTCGACAGCCTTGCCACATGTTCACTGTTCCCTGCTAGTTATTTAATCATGAAGGGTCTTTTACGGCAGAGAAATAACTTGGGACGGCCTGGAAGATTGGTATGTACTATTAGCGACTTCTTGTATATACTTGTTCTTTATCAGATGCAGTCACTATTTATTATAGGCTAGGTAGACTATCAAATCCAACGAGCCTCACTTCAGCACTTAAGCAAGCAACCTAGCTGTACTACTTCCTAGAAGCTCGTCTGAAATTCGGCAACGTAAAGTGATACACGCGCGGCGTCCTGCCAATACCCGATGTGTTTACCACATGTTTCCCACGGGACGGCGAAACATCTGCATGGTTATACACATTGTGGTAGAGAGCTTCAGGTTACCTACATGTTCCTGGAGGAGTTTGTTCAACTGTAACTGTGATAAATATTGTGCCAGCGACCACTATTATTAAAATCCTAATGCGGACCATATTCTTTGCTATTCTTTGCGAGTGGGTATCGATTCTTCGTTTGCTATTTCTCATGATGCATTCATTATGATAAATCCTTATTCAAAAGACAAATTCTAACACCGAGCATTTCTTTGCACTTAAATCTTATAGTCCACGCTCACCAACGGCGTTGGGCTTCCATCTTCTCATGGGCTGCCCAGTGGTCTTCACCGGTACCATCTATAGCAATATCATGGCTGATTCCAAAACTTCGCTTCGAATCCATCTTCTTGTTCAATTCTTTCGTAATGGCGTCCACGTCGACGTTAAGATAATCCCTTAAGTACTTCCCTACATCAGTATTCTCTACGTTGCCCCGAATCGCGTCTGCCCCGGGACCGCCAGAACTGTAGATGTTAACATCTACAGCTGAATGGCCGTGAGTGCTCCATCCGATCTGTGCGCGAACGCTGATCATCTGGGCGAATGAATACTGGGCTTGTTCTGGGCTTAAAGCTATAGTCGTGAGCTCTTCATCGGAGGCATCATGAATGCCAAGGCCAGGCTTAACAAGTTCCTCATTAATATACTTCTTGAGCTCGTCGACGGAATGATCGGTGGATTGTGCAAGATGTCCGTGAAAGCGACGAGCGAGATATTCTGAAGACGAAGAGGCGTTGGCCAATACAGCAGGATACCACAAGTATTGTGGATAGTCAACATTTACCTCTGAAAGCAAAGTTAGCCAAGGTTCCCCACCAGTCTTGAAGAAAAGGTATACTGACGTCGTGCTACCGATAATCCACCTGTCTCATGGTCACTAGTAGCAACCAGGACTCCTGGAGTCTTGCTCTCGTCTAAAAAGTCCAATACAGCTTCGAATGTCTTGTCATATTCAAGGACCTCTCGCACTTGTGCGGCCGGATCGTTCTCATGGCCAGCATGGTCGATTCTACTGCCCTCGATCATTAAGAAAAATCCCTGGTCACTGTCCTCTGTAGCCTTCTCGAGAGCTCTCAGAGCTGTCTTGGCCATTTCGCTCAGACTGGGGTAGATGTCGTTCATGTTTCGCCTGTCCAGCTCGAATGGGATGTCTGTTGGGGCAAAAAGTCCCAGTATCGGAAGGGGAACTTCCTTCTTACCCTCCCAGAATTCATCGAATGCTGCCCGGTCGTTGATATAGTTCCAACCATAGTCTTTCTTTGCCATTTCTACTACATCAATATTGTCTTCACGGCATGCACCGTCGGTTCCGTTCGGAAGGAAGTGGCATCGTCCGCCTCCAAACATCAAATCTACCACGCGACCAAGGGGCCCATTTCCTACTTCTTGAACAGCGATGTCGTCGTTTTGCTGACGTACATCAACATGACTAGCAAAGCAAGCAGGAGTTGCATCGGTTATATCCGTGGTGACAACCAGTCCAGTCTTATATCCGGCCCTTTTAGCAGCTTCGAGTACAGTCCCGCAGGGGGTTGAATCAGGTAGCATCGAAATGGCGCCGTTATAACTCTTCATCCCGCAACTGAATGCCGTCGCTCCAGCAGCCGAGTCTGTGACTAGGGAGGAGCTACTTCGCGTTCGGCTACTACCCCAGAAGTGCTTATCAAGGGTGAGGGTGTCACCGTACTCGAGGCCTTCGGTATATTGCCTAAAACTGCGAGTCAAAGACAGCGAAGCAGGGCCCATACCGTCAGAGACCATGAAGATTAAATTACGCTTGCCGGTAGGTTTGTCGAATGATGTTTGTTGTTGATGCGATGCCCAAATAGCAAGAATTAGCACGCCGGCGGTTGCGAGAAGGGCCCATGCGAATAGCAGAGCTTCTCGTAGCCTCGTATGCCATGTCTGACCAGACTGTGTAGCCCTAGATTGTCCACGAAGCACATCTTCTTCCGAGTCGCTCAACGCGTCGAAATTCGCATCGGGATCGCGACGGTCGCCGTCGAGGAGAGGTGTCGTTGCATTAGCCTAGACGATGAAGGCTACAGTCAGCTTAGTTCGTAGTTAAAGAGCGGTCGCATGCTAGTGCCCAACAGTACGCGACACATATTTCGGCCTAAAGACAATAGCTAGTATTTAAAACGAAAGTATTAAGAGGTACTTACCATATCGGTCGTAATTCATTTGAAGGTGGTGCTCTCAATGCGATGATGAATACAGTAGGTTGTGATTAGAGATAGTTGTAAGTGTGTATGTTGAAGCTTACCTCCTAAGGTACTTAACACAGTCCGAAACCCTCTAAGTTTAAGCTTCGAGGTCCCTGAGAACTAGCTGCATGCATCAACCCCCAACCTTGTTCCCATGACGTTATCATGCGTAACAATTATGTTACACCAATGTATCTAATATCTTGGTAGAAGAATATATGGCTTAGTAGCATATTCAATATTTGGCAAGACAGCCCCTATTATTCATCTAGGCAACGCCACTTAGAAGCGGGCAGTGCCTCATTTAGAGATGACAGTCATCGCTTTATTCCAGATATCCAGATACATAGTGATAAATCCATTGAGGCAGACTAAAGTACACTTGCGAGTAGAATATTGTTAAGCATACACTATCAGTTAAAAACCATTACAAACCCTTTCACCCGGGATAGAGGTGCTCGACCTTAGTGGGGGTCTGCAAAGTCTTGGTGAGAATGTCTCGTTGAGGACTTCTAACCTTTGAATATGAAGATACCACCACAGAGCCTTTCTTATAGCTTATAGTAGTGGATTTTAGGGCTTCCTTATGTCTTAGTCGGATAGCTGACTTAGGGTTGGTCACTACATATGAACAATGTCTTTGTACATATCCTCGTAGTTTCTCAATGTTTCTCGTAGTTTAATCCTTAGAGGGAGAAACAATGCCCATGTATGTCTGTCATTGCTCCTTATTGCTTTTCGTAGGTACTTCTAGGAGGATCTTTGTGCCCTGTTCTTTATCGAGAACAACAATCATGTATGTTTGTTCTAGAACGACAGCTGTCTCTAAAAATGTATAAAAACCCAAGACCATGTCTTACCTTGGAGTCGATTATACTATTATTCTTCTTTTATCAACATTTATCAACACTACATATTACCTTCAAGCGAGCTGGCCTCGGAATACATCGACAGTAGTCTAGTACATTTTACTGCTCTTTTTGCAAACGATAAAATCATAAAAACATCACAATGTTTACGAAATATTGCTCGGTCGCGGCCGCCATGGCCCAACTCCTCGCCATATCTAATGGCCACATGATCATGCAGACCCCGAAACCCTTCGGAGGTCCGGACCTTGACAACTCTCCTTTAACTGCAGGCAACTTCCCCTGTAAATTAAAGGGCGATCCAGCTACATTTTATTCGACGTCTGGCCTCGACAATACAATGGCGGTAGGGGAGAGTCAATCCCTATCGTTCAAGGGCTCGGCGGTTCATGGAGGTGGAAGTTGTCAGTTGGCAATCACCAAAGACCTTCAGCCTAGCGTATCTACATCTTGGCAAGTTATCCTTTCCATCGAAGGCGGTTGCCCAAGCAAGTCCGGCCAAGGTCCTGACACATATGACTTCAAGATTCCAGACGGAGTAGCACCTGGCAAATACGTCTTCGCCTGGACTTGGATCAGTAAACTCGCGGGTCAGCCGGAGTATTACATGAACTGTGCGCCTATCACAGTGACAGGAGGAAAGTCCAAGCGGTCGAATAACGAGACTATGGAACTCTTCACTCGCGATGGTCAGTTCCCCGAGCTCTTCGTAGGTAATCTTGCCGATATCAACTCGTGCAAGACGGAACCCAGCACCGACCCCCAGTACCCCGACCCCGGCCCTAACGTCATCCGCCCGGGTTCAAACAACAATTTTGCCAAGATCCAAGGCGACAATTGTGTTCCCAAGGGTGCCAAGTCTGGCGGATCAAGCGGAAGTGCCGATCCTGCTGGCCAGAATACCCCCAATAGTGGTGTGAACGGCGGAGGTAACGATAGTGGCAACGGGAACGTTGGCTCCAGCGCTGCCGGCCCAAGTAGCAGCGCCGCTCCAGCTACTAGCGCAGCTCCCAGCAACTCTTTCGTAACAGTTGTTCCCGTTGGCAGCGGCGGCAGCAGCAGTGCTGCTGCCACTCAGAGCTCCTCGGCCGCGCCTGTAGTTAGTTCTCCAGTCAGCTCCGCAGCCACTTCTGTAGCCACCCCCGTAGTCAGTTCCGCAGTTAGTTCTGCAGTCCCTGCTCCAGTTAGCTCCGCGAGTCCCGCAGGTAGCGCCCCTCCCAGCACTGGTTCCCCTTCCGGAGGACTTACAGGACCGTGTACTTCGGAAGGAATGTTCAACTGTATTGGCGGAACCGCCTACCAGCAATGCGCTTCTGGTTCGTGGTCTACAGTTATGCAAATGGCCCCTGGTGTTAAGTGTGCTGAAGGGCAAACAATGACTTTGTGGGGGCGTGACGAAACCCCTCGCAAAGTTGCCCGTAGAGTCAACTGGTAAGATTAGTTGAGTTATTACTCTGTTAGCTAAAGTATATACCACGCCTACCTGAACAACAGTGTACGTAGGCCAATAATAAATCTTATCGGAAGGACAATGTAAATAGCCTTAATTTAATTCACTCAGTCACATTATGTTGTTAAGAGGCCCCAAAAGTAATCTAAATTTTGGTTCTTGCCTAGATCATTTTATTCATCTAATATGTGGAATTGTAGAAAGATGTGGTGGTATTATTAAAAAGAAACTATCAAGATCTAGGTCAAAAATTCATACACCTCCTTATCTTAAGCACTCTCCAAGACTCATCCATAACTTTCATACTTATATTAGTTAGGTACATATCTCACATATACTATTCCTTTTTGGCTTGACGTGTTTTATATTAAAACAGTGCTCGGATAGCAGCAATGATAGCTAAACCCACTCTCATCATCTCAATATTTCCGACACTTGATTCGAATTCTGGTCAGATGGACTCTTTGCCAATAATAGGCATGCGTCAGGTACACACTATCATATTACACAATTCGAACATACCTAATAACAGGCGATAGTTCTTGTAGGTCACCGCAGTAGTCTACATGTACATAGGTGAAACTGCCAATACTTTGTGACTTAAGTTCCAATGAGATACTCCTACTATAGATATATTTTTACTGAGGTGCCACTTACCTACCTTACCTAGATAATTGTATATATACCTCTACATGGTAGGTGCGTGGTCTCTGGCATCTCTGTGTGGCCAACATTCGTTAGATAGTTACCCTCCGTAATCTTCGCACGATCTTAATGGAAAGCTTCATCATGGGTCCCTGTATTAAAACTTTGATACGTTGGGTACCTACCAATCTAAACTTTGGGTTTTACCCTTCTTGCCGCAAAAGTCAAATTTTATTTGAATCAGATTACTAGGGTATAAATAACGACCACCAAAGGTAGAAAGCGATACCGTACAAGTTACTTCACACCAGGAAGCCAGAGTGGACTTTGCATGTTCTAATCTACATACCACAAGTCTTAACAAAACAAACGCTGTCTTTCAATTTAAGAGTTCACATAATCAATACTATTTGATCTCTTTCGTCCTGAATTCGGTTACAAAATGATTTCAAAGTTAATTGCGTCGATGAATAAGGACTGGATAAGATGGCTGAGCATTGGGGGGGATTCGGAAATAATCGACCTTACTATTCGGATCTCACATTACCTTAGAGAAGAAGCGACTAAGCAAAATTTCCCAGCTGATCCTGCGTTGATCATCCAGTTGACCAGGGCCAACTCCACCATCACGGAAGAGTCTGGGGAGCTTGGAACAATGATCGAGGATGGTCTTGTTGAACTTGTCTACTCATCAAACTTCATCGAAGTCACCGGCTCTGATTTTGACGTGACAGAGAAGTTGTGCCGTGCCATTTTCCGAGGTCAGCAGGTTCAGGCCGAAGTAGAACTAAACAGCCCTGAATACGAACAAGCAAGGACTGCGTTGGTTAGGCTGGGGCGACCAAGCTCCTTTCAGGATGTCATACAGAGTCGGCAAGAAATCATCAACCATGCCAATGCACTAAACTATGCTATCGATCATATCATCCTCAATAGCGAACCAGTCACGGAAGACTTCCTTCGAGAGACACATGGCATATTATGTGCTGGAAAGGTCTTGGGGGAAGATGCAGGACAGCCTGGGGAATACAGGACTTGGGAAATCGCCGCAAGACACGGTCAGGACATGAAGAAAAAATCTATCTTTATACGTGCATCCACTGTTCCTACCTACATGGCGGAGCTTGTGGACGATCTACACAAAGATATGGTCGCAGCGGAGGAAAACGGGACGATTTACCCCTTTGATATGGCAAGCCGATACTGTCACCGCCTTGTCTGCATTCACCCTTTCGGAGATGGAAATGGTAGGATGTGTCGGATTCTGCTCAACATCATTCTCCTCAAGTACGCTGGGTTTGTCAGTACGTTTGGTGGCACTGAAGCCGAACGGCAAGAATATCTGGACATAGCAAAGCGAGCCAACAAGAAATTCCACGAAGAAGATATGGAAGTTCCCGAGGAGGATAAGAAAGGTCATCATGAGTTGGCGAGATTCATGCTAAGGACATCTAAGCAGACATTAGGAAAGTTGTGGGCATGGGCTATGGGTTAAAAGGAGTTAGAATAGAGGTATTTGTGTGTATCGTTGCGAAACCATCAGCCCATAGTAGAGCTTAGAAAAGGGGGTTGCAGAACATTAATTGCCAATTGAAAGAAATATCCTTCAAATATAATTACGTAACTCGCGTGAAATACGTCTAGGTACTGTAAAGGTTCCAGGGGTCTTCATTCTGCAACGATCTGATAAGAAAGTACCTTGTATCGTGTGACGCGTAATACTAGACGGGCTAATCTCCATATAGCACGCCGATTAATTAGTAGTCATCCAGAGGCAGTAAGCGATATACATATTTAATAGCATTTGGTGTCTATTTACAACATGCTAAACTTAAGGCTCTTTCGATTTGAGTCAAGGAACTCTACTAGGAGGTAGTCCAGTTTATGTTGATAAATTATAATGTCACCACCTATCACACTACTCCGGCTAGCGACGCTGGTATTTGCGACAACTTCGCTTGCCCTTAACAACGCTGATTCACCAGATGGATTCGGTGCAAATCTCGACAGCGCCCGCGAGAATGGCCCCCAGATATTCAACGCCCTTCATAATGCGATGCGCGAGTTTGGGTCGGCCTTACATCATAATGGGATGTCTCTATTTCCAGCAGTGATACCCGAAGGTGTGCTCTTGTATCATGGAACCGATACCAAAGAAGTACCTAAGGGTTTTGAATGGCTTGCATTCGAAATAGAGCATGCGGAATCTTTTGCTCGTTGTCGAGGACCGCCCCGGAAGAACCCCGATAAGAACCCGGGTTCCTTGGAGTTTGCCATGCATCCTCCTCCACCACCGCCGCCGGACAAGGACCGGCGACCTAGATGCCCTCCACACTCCCCAGCAGGCCACTTGCACATCTACCAGGCTTCACGACCGCTGAATGTCCTTTACATCGATGGCATGGCGGCTGGAAAGACAGTCATGGGTACGGTTGATACCCAGGATATCTTGCTGTCAGCTAATAGAAGTCGGTCCTCATTTAATGATTGGGCAAGGGCCGATAGCTTATGCGCGCTGGCTCGGGAGTGGAAGATGGATGGGTTTATACGTATGGAACCTGGTTTCGAGGTCATCTATTGCGATTTTACAGATGGTTTAAGACTCCTATCGGCCAACCAGCGGCCGGCGACAGATGAGCCTGGTGATCTGGATAACATGCAAATCGCAATGTTTGAGTGGGCGAGGGCAGCTTCTCAGCGGTACCAAGGCATTAGTTCGTCGCGTGTGATACTTGATTACTCTTCCATGGTCTCTGCTTTCTTCTATCCGATCAATTTGACAAACCCGGATCCGAAGAGACCTGATCTACCCCGATTAACGCAGACCAGCGATGTCGAGATGAGTGTTGTAAGGGAACATGTTGGCGACTCGGTGCTTCGATCGGTATCATCCCGAAAAGCTCCTGTAGACTGGCAGGGGGTAACGGATATGATTGTTACTCGATACGCCAAGCGGTTACCCTTTATTGCTCAGACGGATTCGATCGACGTTATAAGGAACGAGATAAACGGCCTCCTAAACATCTTTATTGACTACGCAGAAACCGACGACGGCTTCTTGGCTGCGCGACAACGCTGCATACAGTTCTATCTTCAACCTACCCACGTGCGAACACTGGAAGATAAGCTCATACACGCGGCTATTGAGAGCACCACTACTACGATCTGCACTGCGCTTTTTAAGACGCGAGAGATTATCGTCGAGGACATAGATGCTGATGAACAATTAGCAGTGGATGCGGCAAAGCAGATTATTCAAAACCTAATGGGAACACTGCGCTGGTCGGAGTGGAAGGAATGTGGTCCCTGCCAAGCAGACGAGTTATGCTTCGTCGCGATGTGGCCTTTCGGAAATGTTGAAGACCATTATAACCCCAGCTGTCTCAACTACTCTGCTGTCATCGGCCGTCACGATTACTGGCAGCAACGGCCACCACCGCTTTGTATGAATGAACAGTCATGTCAGAAATACGACGACGTGAGGAATGAAGAATTATGATGATAAGGTCTAGTATCAAAGAAAATAGGGATTTCAAGCTATGGTACCTCTGGCGCTCGAGTTAAAGCCTAACTTTAGCAGTTCGGCGGTGGGACCACCTCTTATACCATAAGCCTCTCCTGAATAGGTAGAGCAAAACATCTAACTTTTTACATGAGATATACCAAAGTTATTCCTTTACAGTTTAAAAGCTAGCCTGTCTTCTTGCTATTAGTTTGGTATTACATAGCACCGGCGAGATAACTACCTACCTAAGGTACGGACTGATTCCAGACATGAGAAATTGAAGCGTTGTCAATTCACATAAAATCTAGAACAAAGGGTCTACAGCTATATTATTGATTTAATCTTAAATATGTTCACAGTGCCTCGTACAATAGCAAAACCGCTTTCCCGCTGCGCGGTTGTATCGTCACACGTACAGCAGAAATGCGACCGTAACACCACCAGGTCCCTGAAATTTTTTATTTTATTTTTTGAATCCTTTTTCGATTCACCTAGCCCTAGTCAATTTTAGCACCAATCTATCGACGCCGGACGCCTAAGATTTAATTAGGTCCTACTCTTGTGACACCTAAATTTTACATCAAGGACTTCTGTGTCTCGTTCTAGTTAATCCCTAAACTACACCTGTGGTATGATCATTGTTTGATATGAATAATTGTTGTATTATAAAATATTTAAGAAATTCTTTAATATTTATAAAATCTAGGTATTTATATGGACTTATAATAGGTTTTATAAACTTTAATTATGTAATAATACCTTTTAAAAGGGAAAAAAGATAATATTTTTATTGTTAAAAAATAAAAGAAATTATTTATATAATTTAATTTTATTATATTATAAAATTTATTAATAGTTTATTTTTATTTTTTTTTAATTTTTTTTTAATAATTATTTAATATATTTATGGCTTAATTTAATATATTTTATAAGATATTTATTATTTTATTTTTTAATGATATATTTTTAATAAATTTTTAAAATAATTTTATTTAAATGGGATAATTATTTTTTAAATATATTTATTGGTAAAATTGGTTTAAAATAATTAATAAATATTATATTATAAATTTTAAAATAAACAAAAAATTTAAATTAATATATAAAACAATTAATTTATTTAATAACGTAAAAAGGTTTAATATATTATTATTTAAATTTTTTATTTAATATTATTATTACGGAGATATTATATTTTTTATGTAAACGAAATAATATGCGATTATTTATTTTAAAAAATATAAGTTTATATTATAAATTATAATATTTTTTAATAATTATTACAATTAAAACAATTGCGTTATAAATTTTAATATATAATTAAAGTGTTAAATTTTAATAATTTAAAAGATGTAAAAATTGTGGAATAAAATTTAAGGTAAATTTATAAATTATTTTTAAAAGGTTATATTAAATAAGTAATAATTATATTAAATTAATTTTATATTATAAGTAAAAAATATAATTTTTTTATTGTAAATTATTTTTAAAATTATTAAAATAATAATAAAAAACTAATTTAATTTATAAAATAAAGTGTTTTGTTTAATTGTTAATTTAAAGGTAATATGTAATAATGTATAATAGTTTTGTTTTAACGTAAGTTTAAAATTGTTTTTAAAATTTAAATAAAAATTTTAAGTTTTTATTAAATATTATAATTTTTAAGATTTTTTAATTATTTAATAATAAAGTATTATAATAAATATTGGTTTAATTAAACGTTGTTTAATTATAACAATTAAAGATAATAATTGTAATTTTTAAAAATTTATTAATTATAATATTAAAAGTATTTTTATTATTTTTAATTTTAAATAATTTAAAAGTAATATTAATAATAATTATATAAAATAAGTAAAATAATCCAATAATAAATTATAATAAATTATAAGGTAAATAATTTTTAAGTTTTATAATAAAATATTTTAAATATAATTTTATATATTTTTTAAATTTTTTACAATTAATAATAAAATATATAAGTTATTTGTTAATTTTATTATATTTAATATGATTTTGTTTATAAAGTATTTTAAAGATTTTTAAGTTATATATTTTAAAAATGTAAAATTTATTATAAATGTTTAAAGATTTTTATAATAAATTATTTTTTAAATAAAAAAAAAATAACGGCATTATTTACAAGATATTTATTTTTTTTAATAATGTTAAAGATATTTTTTTATTTAAGGTTTTAAAAGTATTTAAATTAAAGTTTTATTTTAAATTTAAAGTGGATTTGTATTAAGGTTATTTTTTAAGATATTAAGTTTATTAAAAAATTATTTTTCATATTTATTATGGTTAAATAAATTATAAATAAAACGTTTTTATATGTAAAAAAAGCTTTATTAATTAAGGATTTTTAATATTTGTTTTTATTATTTAAAAAAATATTAAAACTTTCGGTATTATTATTAAATATATTTAAATTGGTAATAAACAAATGTAATAATGTATTTAAAATAATATGTAATTTTTTAAGTTTATAAAATATTATAAATTTAAATTTATTAATATATTCCATTATTTGTATAAAATAAAAATTTTTATTGTTTATTATTATAAAATTAATAAAATTGTTATATTTTATTATATTTAATATAATTTTATGGTTTATAAAAATGTAAAATTTTATTTAAATAATATTAATATAATAGCGGGTTTTTTTTATGGTTTATATAAATCTTAAAATTTTTATCTCCGTTAATTAATATCGTTATTTCGTTATTAATAATATGTTTAATAAAAAAATAATTAATTATATTATGGTTTATAAAATATAAATGGTTATTTTATTATTTTTCATTAAAGAAAAAAAGGTTTTATTATTAATATAATAAATAAATATTTCGATACTTTTATATAATATATTAAAGTTAATATAAAAAGATTATTTGGAATTGTAAAAATATAAAATTATATATTTTATTAAAACGTCTTTTAATCTTTTAAAAAATAATTTTTTAATTTTAAATGGTATATTTATAAAAACGTTATTAATTTATTTTTTTTATTTTTATTTATTTTTTTTTTTTAAGTTGGTATAAATAAATATTATTTTTTATTTTTCGAAAAGTTTAATTAATTTTGCAAAATAAAATATATTATTTTTTATATAATTAATAAAACTGATAAATATTTTAAAATTTTTAAAAAATATAAAAAAAATAATTTTAAAAATGGTAATAAATTTTTCTTTTATTATAAATAAATTAAAAAAGTTAATTAATTATTTAAAAATAATAATATTAAAAAAATTAATAAATAATTTTGTTAAGTTAATTAAAACATTTTTTTTATAAAAAAATGTAAAAATTAAAATTAAATTTTTAATATAATTTTTTAAAGTTTTAAAAATAATAATAATATTATTATAATAATAATTTATTACGTTAATATCTTTAAATAATATATTTATTTAACGTTAAACGTATACGTTATTATTTTTATATTTTATAATAAAGTAATAAAATATAAATTATTTTTTAACGGTAATATTAATTAAAGCTTATTTTATAAAAAAATGGATATGTTATTAATAATAAAATATTAAAGTATTTATTATTATTATAAAAATTTTAAAATATATTTTTGCAAATATAATTTATTAAAATTTTATTGGGTAAGTATTATTTAAATTTATATTATTAAATATTTTTATATTAACGATTATTTGTTTTTTTTTAATTACGCCATTAAAACTGTTAACAAATTTTTAAATAATAAATATAAATATTAAAAATGGGGTAAATATTTAAATATGTATAATATATTTTTAAGAAATTAATTTTTTAATAATTTTATTAATAATAACTTAATCTTTAACATTAATAAAATATAAATAAATTTTTTTAAAAAAGAATTTTTTTTATTTAAGTTTTAAATTAAAATAGAGAAATTTATTTTTAATAATGTTAATAAAGTTTTTATTAACGAAAATATTTTGAAATTATATAATTAAAGCGGAAAATTTCTTAAAAACTTTAATATTTTTAAAATTATTATAAATTGTAATATTAATAAAATATTTACGGGATTAATTAATTTTAAAAGTAATAAAATTACTTGTAAAATTAAAGATTTTTAATTTAATTTCTTTTTTTAATAATTTACGTAATGTTAAATACGGCGTATAATTATTATCGATTTATTATTTATAATATTTTTATTTAAAAGGTTTTAAATAATTCATTAAATTATTTTTTAAAATAATAATTTAAAAATTTATATTGTTATAAATAATAACTTTATTTATATTATTATTTAATAATATTATATAAACAAAAATATTATTTAAATATAGTTTAAATATAAAATTTTATTTAAACAATATATTATAAATAATTTCAAGATAATAATGGTATTATGTAAAAATTATTATATTAATTATTGTTATAATTTTAACAAATTATATAAATAACTTAAAAGTGGAAAATAATAATATAACGGTTTTGTAAAATTAAATAATTATTAGTTTTTTTAATAAAATAATATTTATTTATTTAATATTTAAAATGTTTGTATTGTATAATATATAAACTTATAAATTATTAATAAATATAATTTTACGTGTAAATAAAATAATAATTAAAGTTTTATTTTAATAATTTTTAAAATAAAAATAAAAAATAATATATTTTAATAATAAAAATTAATAATTAATAATATTATAAATTAATATTGGTATTATTTGTGTTTAAATTTTTACTCCGAAATAATGTTTTTTAATTTAATTTTTGTTGGTTAAAAATTTTAAATATTTAATGTTTATATATATATTTTTTTTTATATTTTGTGGTAATGTTTATTATAATATAAAATTTTAAATGTGTTTTGGTTTTGTAAATAAAATTTATTTTATAATTTGGGTAAAAGTTTATAAAAAATTATAATATAAAAATTTTAAATTTTATTGTTTTTTAAAGTGTAATAAATAAGTTTATAATATTAAGTTTATTAATAATAATATTAATATTTATTTTATTATTAACGTAATAAATTTTAAAAATTGTTGGTATAATATTGATAATAATATTAGTAATATTTTTGGAAAATAAAAATAATGTGGATAAAGTTTTAAAAAATATTTTTAATTATTTTAAATGTTATTTATTTAAATATTAAAATAATTTATTGTAATTAGTAAATTATTTGGTATAAAATTTATATTTAAATATAATTGGTGTTAAAAAAATTGTATTAAAATTTATTATTTTATTAGGTTTTTTTAATATTAATAAAAGTATAAAATTTAAAAAAATTAATTTAAATAATAAAATTAAATTTTAAATGGGATTAAAATTATTTATGGTAAAACTATTATTTGGTTTAAGATTTATCATTTAAAATATTTATTTTAAAAGATTAAAAAGTTTAAATTTATTTTTGTTAAAATGTTTAAAAAGTAATAGGTTATATTTTATAAAATTTAA